CGGCAGCAAGGGGTACGGTATGCAATCAGCCCACACGAGCATTAGGAACCGGATACAGGGGGTCAGCGGATTGTGAGCGCCGCATTTTGCTGTGCGACCGCAACAACAACGCCGTTAAACTCGGCGTACTCAAAATGCGAGGCCCTCTATACCATCACAACGCCACACCCTCTCATCCACATACAAACTTCCATATAACGTCCGTATATCCCTGCATCAACCTATGCTCCTACATCATTTTCTCATATTCATTCCCACCGTTTATTTGCTCTCACAGATTCTGTACCATACAAACCCTTATATGTCGTCTTTGGTATCACCTATAACGGGGTCCGCCTCTTCTCGGCAGCGCACTCCCCATCGCGCGCTCAATCTCGCCTGCGCCGTCCTTCCGTCCGACGCTCGGCCACTTAGACGCCCACTCCCGATTCCGCCAGCCTCCCAGACCTCATGGCGGACCCGCGCGCGGCGCGCGGCGTGTCCACGTCCTCGGAGGAGGACGAGTCGCTCAGTCCGCAGGATTTCGTGCACCGGCAGATGGAGAAGATGCGCAGCCTGGACGAGCGCGAGAACATGTCGTTCCTGTCGCACCAGAGCCGCAGCAGCAACCACAGCGGCACGAGCGAGCTGTCGGCCAACATGACGGTCTACGAGAAGCTGCAGGCGCTCGCGCTGGCCGAGAATATCAAGTTAGACGGGTCCGGCAACACCGACCGAACCGGTAGCAACGTTAAAGAAGAAGGAGGAGGAGAGGGAGAGGAAGACGAAGATGACGATGAAGACGACGACGACGATACGTACGAAATATCGTGGGACGGAGGTCCTCTGGGACTTTTATTCAAGGCCAACGCCAATGGGCAGCCGGTTATCCGACGAGTTAATAAGAAGGGGGCAGCTACTGGGCTGCAGTACGCACGGGCGGGTGACGTGCTGCTGGCTCTTAACGGGGTCAGTGTGTCTGCTACGCCCTTTAGTGAGGTGATCGAGAAGCTCAAGAACCCGGAATTCCCCATCAAATTGGACTTCCGGCCGCTAAAACTGAGTGACTTGGCGTCCGAGGCGTCCGCAGCGACTACTAAGTGGGGATTGCCCAATTCAGGCTCGGTTCATAGTAGTGACGCCACGTCGGCCTTCTGTGGCTCTCCGGTGAACTCTACGGCGACTGTGGACATGAGGAGCAACCGAGGGGCTGCGTGGGGGGAGTCGTCCCCGACCTTCTCGAACCCAGCGCCCGCGGAGGAGCCGACAGATGTGGAGTACGATGTCGTGTGGAGTGAAGGACCGCTCGGGTGCGAACTTAAGCAGCGCAATGGACTCCCGGCGGTCAAGTCCGTGACCGGGACGGGGGTCACCCCCAGTGTGGCTCAGATTGAGGCGGGGGATATACTGGTGAGCATCAACGGGTTACGCACGGAAGAGATCGGGTTCAAGAGTACGGTGACGCTCATGATGCGCGCGGCCAAGCCGGTGTATTTGAGGTTCCACAGAGGAGGGGCGAGACAGCCGCCGTCGACTGGCAACAGCTTCAGTGAACTCCCTCCGAGCTACAGAGGAGCGGATGACGGCGTAGCGCTGGACCCCAGGCAGTACACGATTATGTGGCGTGACGGCCCGTTGGGTATTCAGATCCGCACGTCCAGCAAGGGCCGCGTGGTTGTGGCGCGACTTACAGGTGCTGGCGCCCCCAATGTCAACGACACAGTGACGCCCGGCGACATTTTCGTGCGTATTGCAGGGGTGGATGTCGACTCGTTGGGTATTGCTGGAGCTTTTGAACTATTAAAGACGGTGCAGAAGCCGGTAGTGCTCGTCTTCCAGCGGCGCGGACGCAGTCCAGGTCACGGCCATCGCTCTCACTCACGCGACAGACCTGCTGGGCTACCTACACCAGCCCCAGCACCCGTACCGTCGTCTTCTGCAGTGCCGTCGTTCAGGAAATTGCGCGAGGAGGAAGCGGCGGCCGCTGCTGCAGCAGCAGGACGTCCACCGCTAGGCCGAGTAAGCAGCGGAGGGTACAGTCCAAGAAGCAAAAGCCGCGGAGGATCTGTGAGGCAGCTTTCAAGTGGCCACTCGCACGAATTTGAGAACTATGCAGCATCAGACGACGGCACCAGCATGCACAGCTACGACTACCTGGATTCGCCTCGATCAAACGCGTCTCATCCGAAGCAGTTCAACAACTCTCAGAACGATGACGGCGACAATGGGTTACCCGGCTACACCGACCTGCCGCCTCCTCCGTTCCCCGGTGGCGTGTCCCCCGCGGCCCCTCCTCCTGCAGGCCTCGGAATCGAAGACTATTCAGAGGAAGATAGTTTTCCGCCTGAGGCTCGGGATGAGAGCCCGTCTCTCACAGGACTGCCTCCTCCTCCGTCGTATATGGACGTATTCACGGCCTCTGGACGAGCAAAGGACCCGATCACAGTGGCCCCTGCCTCTGCTCGCAGCAATCTCCCGGGCATTCCCGACGATGAAGACGGCGGTTATTACGGTGAAGGTGGCGGTCACGTCGAACGCCCGCCTCCGTTCGAAGCCCACAGCGATGACCCCCTGCCGCCCCCGCCTGTGTATTCTGACTCCGCGCTGGCCCCTGCTGAAGAAACCCCTAGTCTTCTAGGCCAGCCCAGCCGACTGCAGGAGCTTCGACGCCAGTACATTGAGTCGGAGCGAGAGCGGAACATGCTCCAGAACGGCGCTGCCACGATGGTGAGTACGTACTCGGACATCGACGACTCGGGGCTCGTGGTGCGTCGTAAACCGCAGCCTTCGTACGGAGACGACGCGTTGGACGTTGGAGCACAAGCGCCTCAGTTGCCTCTACCAGAGCTTTGGGTGCGCTGGAGCGATGGACCGCTGGGCATCACGTTCAAGCGCAAGAACGGCCAGATCGTGGTGTCTCGCCTCACGGGCTCGGGCTATTCGCCTGGCCTGACGCAGCTTCGTCCGGGTGACTGGCTCGTATCGTTCAACAACCAGTCGACTCGCAACCTTCGACTTGGAGAGACTATGGAACTGCTCAAGCGTTCGCCCAAGCCGGTGGACATGTGCTTTATCGTGCAGTGAGGGAATGAAGAACTACAGTATCTGCATTAGATCCCAGCGTCGTCGTTGCGTCATGTATCGCTCGGGAGTAGCCCAGAGCGCAATAGTGAATAGCACCCGGAGGCAATTGTAGCTGATGATGGCGACGGATGTAGCGATGAAAGGCTGGAGACGAATCAGCGAGGCAAGTGGCTTGTCGCGGTGGGAAGCGGCTGCGCTTGATCGCTACGTGTTGAAGTGTACATTCAGGAGATGAAATAAACCTGTGAAGTGACACTGAGTGAGAGAAGAACAACTTGATTATGATTCTGCTAGCGCTCTAGCCTTTGGAGCGCTGCCGGTGTGTTTACTATCCATGGAGGTCTTGGGCAAAATATCTAACGGCCTTACGCAGACTTCGCAGCGTCGCCAGTGCTAGCATTCGGTGAGTTCACGATAGTTGTTGACGCAACCGAATCCTCTGCACTTGCGTTGGATTGAGCGCGTTTTCGAGCTCGAATGGCAGCCATCAAGTCCATCGGCTTGCTGGTTTTCACTGCGTTAATAGCCGTGGAGCCGCCGCTACCGCAGTCGCTTGAATCTGCGCGCTTGACGCTCTGCTTTCGTCGAGCCTTGATAGCGTCAAAAAGCAGAGCGCTTGTAGAGAGTGAAGCTGGGTGTCCTTGCGGCTTGGTAACTCCTGAGGTTGATGAGCTATCATCGACTGAGTCACGCTGCTGATCAAGAGATTCGTCACTAACCTCCCTCTTCATCCAAGGAACTCGTTTGCCGTTGCATTGTGCGTTGACTGGAGACAGCTCGGGCATTTTTGCCATGGCTACCTCATTCTTCAGCTGCACATCGTCCACCAACTCCTGAACAGCCTTCATTGTCGCCGCCGCCGTAACCGACTTGCTTGCTCTTTCCTCACTGAACAGCAGTGCGTTGACATCAGCGAGGATCTCCTGCAGGTAATTGATGGCACGACTGGCTTCACGGATTTCAACGGGTGATCGGGTGTCCTCCTCATCTTTCGCTGGATCTCGCTTCCCCGTGATGCAAATGCCCACACGCTTAGCCAGAAGCAGCATCAGATCTCGTGCGTTATTCAGCAGTGCATTACACTGCCTTAGCTGCTCGCGATCACCAGAAACCGGGAAAGAATCATCGATCTCCCGTACGTGCTCCAGGATCGAATCCATCTCTTCCAACGCGCCGATTGCTTGAGCGACCTGGCGCATGTTCATCTTGTAGTGCGCCTTCAAGTCTCTCTGTCGCTGGTTGGCCACCATCTCTCGAGCGTGAGCTTGGGCTTCAAGCAGGGCCTTCTCACCTGCCCCCTCCGGTTCACTCTTCAAGATATCCTCTTGAATAAACTCAGCGTCGGTTGTGAACCCGAGACCGCAGTAGAGCTTCCGGATCTTCTCCTCGGCTCGCACTGGGCAGGATAACCCCAAGAGTTTGCAGGTGTGAGACGAATCGCTTGAGTCACTCGATTCGCAGTGGTTGTGGAAGTTCGTGGCCGCGGTAACAAACGCCTCCTTCAGCTTGCAGTACCATGCGAACTTCTTCTGAGCCATTTCGTCCTTCTGCTGCTTCTTCCACTCGTGGAAAGGGTCTTGCAGTACGACGTGCAGTGCACGGCGCTCCAGCAAAGTGAGACCCGTTGTGCGATACCCGTCAATGACACTTGGATGCATCTTGGCGATAGTCTTCGGGTCAGTCCGTAGTAGTTGCAGTGCATTCGTCCGCTTAATTCGGCGTGCGAGCTCCGCTGGGAACTTGACTCCAGTCGGTGTCACGAGCTCGATCAACTCTCGCTCGGACAACTTCGCGATGTTGACAGGAATCGCAGACCGCAGCAAGCGCAGAGCCTTGAGATTGAGAACTCGGTTCCCGTCTTCCCACTCCTGCTCTTGTCTCCGCTGCTCTTCAATGTACTCGTCGGTCATAACGAGCGCCATGTGATACTTCTCCATCTCCTGCTCAAGGATGTAGTACTCTTTCCGTGCTGCAGCCTGAGCCTGCTTGTTCTCCAGCACCACCTCGGACGACCCGATCTCCTGCAGCCGCTTGGAAATCTCCGCCACCTTCTTCTTCGCCAGTTCGTACGGAATAACCTCCGCCACAGAGATACCGGCTTGCTTCAGCTGCCTCTCGAGCACCTTCAGCTTCTTCTTGAGCGCCTCACTCTCGTCGTCTTCATTGGCGTAGAGCTCGGTCTGTCGCAGTTTGCTTAGACAAATGGAGTCGCGGTTGTACGCGGCTTGTCGCGCGTTGATCTCCTGCAGTCGGAGCTGTTCTTGCAGCAGTTTAATCGTGGCTCGAGCCTCTTGAAGCTGCAGCTGTTGCTCCGTTGAGAGCAGGTCTTGTTGGCTCTCCTGGTTGACAATTTGAGCTTCCAGAGCTTGGATCCGCTGCTGACTAGCCTCGACTTCTTTCTCGAGTTGTTTCGCCTTGAGAACGGCCTCGAGTTCCTCCTCCATGTTGCGGGATCCAGAGGAGAAACTGCTGTACGAGAAGTTGGCCATATCCCATGGCGTATCACTGCTGAACGAGTAGTCGGACATGGTGTTCATGGTGTTGCGTGAGGACGAGTGATCCGAAGTGTTATCGGACGGCGATAGGGACGGCGAGTCTTGTAGGATCGCAGGCGAGGTCTGTCGTGGTGGGGCTTCTGTCGCTGCTGACTCCCGATGGTCAGGACTGTTATCGCTGGTTGGATCAGTGGCGCCGGCTTCAACTTCTTCTTGGTTTTGGTGGCCAGTCTCCTCCTCCAGTCTCTTCCGATACGCTACGAAGCAGCAGGAGCAGATCCGGAACTTGTTCTCAATCACGGGTAGATTCACCTCGCGGAAGACCGAGCACCGACTGCAGATTACTTCGCCACACATCCGACAGATATGCCGTTTGCGGAGCACTCGGAACTCCCGCAGACAGACGTAGCAAGCCTTCCGAGCACTGGTAACAAATACTTTTGTAAGTAACATACAGAGAACATTGGAAGGGATGAACGCACTCACCTCCGTGGAATCCATTGGTCCGGCGACACAAAGTGGTGGTGATCCAGCAACAACCGAGACGACGCAGTGATTGTTTGGCTCGCAATCTGTGTGCCTTCATCACTGTCGGATGCAGCGCTCGTGCTGCCGTCCACTGAGGCCCTTGAACCAGTTCCTGTCGTCTTTTGATGATAGCTCTCGTCCTCGCTGTTGTTGGTGCTGCTGCCACTGCCACTGCTGCTGCTGGTCGAGTTCTTCTTCCGCTCTCTACGTCTCGCTCTCTTGGCTTTCTTCTTGGTGGATCCAACCCCTCGAGTCTTCATCCTCGAACCTCCTCCATCCACTAGACTCAGCATGCTGTCGTCAAGCAGAACCAGCGGCGGGGGCTTCTCCTGGTAGTTTACCGGGGTAAACGTGCTTCGAGACATGCTAAACCCACTCGTCATCCTTCCGTCCTGCTTCGAACTCATCGTAGCCGCAACTGCAGCAGCGTTGCTGGACGGTGACAATAGCACCGTATTGGCTCGAGCCAACGCCGCCCTCTTTGCATTGCTGATCCCTCCGGGCAGCAGCATCGGTGTCGGTGCCCGCGTCTTCTTCTCTGTGGCGAAAGACGCGTCTTCCGGGTAGAGCTGAATGGTCTTCCTCTCTGTGACGTCCCTGCTGCCCACGAGCGCTGCTGGTCTCCGGTCGTACCCCCTCTTGGGGGGATCTGACAACAACGTAATGGAAGATAGCAGATCATCGTCCAGACCGTTCAGCAAGGACGGATCGGAGCTCATGAGCCGCACGAGAGCCTTCTGCTTGGTCGGGGAGCTCAGCATCCGGTCCATAGTGTTGTAAACCGATCACTTGTTGCTGGTCGAGTAGAAATTCGTGACTGCGCGTGGAAGTCTTCAGAGCGGGGTAGCAAAGCGAAGCAGGCAGTCACACGCCCCGTGCGATCAAAGCTGTGGGGCTCTGGGGGTGCAGTGGCGTGCAGTGACTTCGCTTGGCACTGGCTCGCCCTGCTGCGTCCGGTTCTTTTTCCAACTAACGAGTGCGTACAACAGCTTTGGGCTTCAGCCTCGGCTCGGTTCGGACGAACCGCGCGCCGCTTCAACTGGCACATGCGCTCGTGCGATCGAGCGACTTGCGAGGAGGATTCATTCCTCCCCCACGGGCTCCTTTATTTTGACCCGCCACATGGCCCCCTCCGACTTTGTCTGCAGTTTTTGCGCGTTCGATGAAACTTCCATGGAAACGGCACACACACCACTTTCGTGTTGGGCCGGGGAGCGCTTGACGCAACGGTCTCCGTGATAAATCAGCAGGGGTAGTAGCTAAACGGAGGTGGTCCCAGCAGTACCAGGCCTATCGACAGTGCAGACGCGACAATATTTTTCTGCTCACTCGGACACGGTCCCCTTCGCTTCGTCTATTCGCCGTTCGAAGGCTTGGAGTATCGAGAGCTGCAAAGGAGCTACAGTACTTCGTTATGGCGCTCCCACGACAACTTCAATGCTCATCGGGTCAGCATCTTTGGTAAACTCATGGATGGCTTCACCGAAGTTCCGACCTCAGTTGTGGCTTTCGAGGAAGTGGACATTACCCTTCCACCCATTCAGTGACCCCACCTCCGCCGCTTTCTGACCCTGTACTGGAAGTCTCTTCATTGCCACGGCACCATCGTTCACCGCAACAGAGCAGGGTAGCATTTGTGCCAACCTTCAAGTTGTGTGTACATGGTTGAGGAAAAATTGTTTTGAGTGAAAATCGGGGCCGATAGCGATGTTTATTAAAAAAAATAGGGAGAGAGCGGCAGTGAGAGTTGGTCAAGTGTTCTGGTAGTGCGTGTCACTGGTATCGGTGCTACGAGTCTGTCATGGAATCGCTCAGCATGAGTGCAATCTCGGCGAAGTTCAAGGTTCAACGAAGAGCTACTAAAGGCTCTTAGAAGACGATATGCAATGATCGGTTGCTCCAGCCAAAGAAAGAAAAACACCCGCACACAACGGTTCATGCATGCAAGTATACTGGCGGGATCTCAGTTAAGCGGGGCAACAGCTCCAAAGACTTCCGAGTGCAAACTCAGTTTCAATATAATAACTCTACCGCACCTGAGGCTGGTAGTCGTCCAGCTTGTCCAGCAGAGTCTTCGAGTAGTGCGGCGAGTAGTACTCGACGATCTCCGGGGGGTAGCAGTTGTTGATCTCGAGAATGTACTCGGTCAGTTTGCCTCCCGCCACCTCGCTCAGTTGCTGCAGCAGCTCCAAGCCCCCATTCTGCACAAACGAGCGCCTGGCTTCGAGATCGTGTGGTAGCATCTGCGCGAACTGCTTCAGAATATACTTCTGCACCTTCACGGGGGCGTCACGCAGTAGCGGTTGCAGTGCCTGCAGATGGGTACACTTGGCCAAAACACTCTTCAACGCGCGTTTCGACTTGATCCTGAGGTCATCGGAGCTGTTCGGGTGGATCATACAGGCCAATAGATGGCGAAGCACGTCCGCTTCAGCTACTGCACGCGAGTGATCCGGTGTATGACGTCCGATCTGCCCCAAAGTCCACGCACTCGCCGCTTTGATGTGATCTTCAGGCTCCGAGATGAGCGCGCTCTTAACCGGAGTGATGCCCTTGGATGTGATAACCGCGAGCGCCAGCGTCTCCGAGAAGGCCGAGATGTAGCCGATGGCCATGATCCCGGGGAGTTTGTTGTTGCCCGTTGCTTCCGCTACGTAGTCGACAAGTGCCGAGGCTCCTCCTGCATTCACGATGAGCTTCGATAGCTCCGGAGTGTGCTTGGCGATCTCGCGGATGCAGGTGGCGGCGTTCTTGCGCACAGTGTGGTCGATGTCCTTGAGGTTGTAGAGGATGTTGGGGAAGATCTCGGCCTCGACGACGATCTCGGCCAGGTCCACCGAGTGCTTGGAGATCTGCGCCAAGCAGCTGCAGACCTGCCGCTTCAACTTGGCGTCCGGGTGCTGGATCAGCGGCGCCAAGTAGGCCACGGTGCCCGGGTCGACGACCGCTTGGGCTAACTCGGGCGAGTGCTTGGCGATGTCACTGAGGGCGGACGCCGCGACGCGCTTGAGCGCCACTTCAGGCTCCTGGATGCAAAGCACGAGCAACGGCACAGCTCCAGCGTCCACGACGTGCTGTGCCAGCTCGCCCGTGTGCTGCGCGATGTAGCCGATCGCCCACGCGGCCGCTTCTTTCACTGTCGGGTCGAACTCCTCCAGACACGGCACCAGCGACTCCAAAGCCCCCGAGTCGACTACAGCTTGAGCCAATTCCGGTGAGTGTTTGGCCACCGCGCGCAGGACGAAGGCCGCTGCCTTCTTGTAGAATCGGTTCTGCTCCGAGAGTGAATAGACGAGCTGCGGCAGAATCTCGTTGCCCACGACCGCCTCGGCTAAGTCGTCGCTGTAGTTGGCGAGACGTCCGAGCGCCAATGCTGCAGACTGCTGGATGCTGGGCACGTTGTCGAGCAGCAGCGGACGCAGCAGCTGCATCACGCCGGCGTTCTGCATGACCTCAATGTTCTGCGGTCGCGTCGCGGCCTCCGCCACGGCCTGCACGAACGTCACGCGCGCCTTCTGATACACCTCGAAATGCTGGAGCACGGAGGTCGACGCCATGGTTTCACTTCGTTCTCGCTTGTGTGTGTCGGTAAATGAGCACCAAGAGCTGCTGCGAGCTGCATCAACCTCATCAAGCCACGAATAGTTCTGCAACGACTCGAGCAGCACGCGTGGGATTGTACGGAGCTGCGTACTTTGAGCGAAGCGCCTTGCCATCCTATTAATGGTAACGAGTGCGCATAATACCATGGCAGCTTCCAGAGGAGATGGACACCGTGTCGAGCAGCGCGGGCTTTGCCCCAGCTCCTCCATCTTTGAGCCTTTGTGCGCTGCCACTTGAGCTTCGACCTCTTTTCAGGACTGACACAATACGGACAACACGATTTCAATGTTTGCGATCTCTGCTTCCTATGCTACGCAGCAGCAGCTTGTCTAACGCTGACACAACCTCCATCATGACGTCGACTTTCTCGCCGCCGTGAGCATCGGCCGAGTTCATCGGTGCCAATAAACTCAACGATAACGAGACAATGAAATCCAACTGGCATACGAGCTCTTCGTGGAAGGTTTTTGTTCCACACAGTGAACAACACCAGTTGCGCTTTGGTTTTGTGTGCATTCTGCGAGTCGTCAATGGCATCGACACGCAGGTGGTCGTACAAGCCGAAGTGACAGAGCTCGTCAGCTACATGTAGGCACCCAGCTAAAACGAGTCAATACATGTAGTAAGATCGAACCAACACCTCCTGATTCGTTTCGTTATGCGCACGTAAGCACCAGGCTACAACCAGGATTATTCTACGCGTCTGTAGAGGACGACCACGTATACAGCACTGCGCGCTAATAGCAAGTAGTCCATGTATTAGTCTAATACCCGATACTTCAAGACGGTAGGGCGATCAAACGATGCTCAACACTCAGCGACGAAACGTTGAAGATCCCCAACAAGTCAGTCTTGCTCTCAGCCTTGTAAGATGCAACGACGGATCTGCTCCTCCAGCTGATGCGTTTTCTGCTGCACCGCTTATTCAGCGCTTCACATCTACAAGTACATCGCTTCCATCTCGCCATCCGCTGCAAACTACGCAGGCAAAGGAGGTCAAAAAGTAAACAACAGTACAAATAGTGGTAATAATCAAAGTGTAAGCCTTGAAACGTCTTTGGAGAATTTCAGCTACCGTTTGCAGCACAACGCAATGGATGGTGCGCAACAGGCTCATCTTTGAAGGAGAACCAACATCGGTAGAGCAAAGTTGCGTCGAGTTCCGGGTGACGGGAGTTCGTCAGTTGAAGGCAATAGCAAGGAGGGACAAGATGAGTCCACAAACAGTTGAACAAGGCAAGTTGATGGAGGACTGTATCGACAGTTTTCTATTAATCCTTGAGCAACCAGGACAAGTACGGGTAAGCAGCATGCAGCTACCAAGAGAATGGCCATTAGTGGTGATGATGAAATCTTCTTTAGGATTTTAATGGCTATCATAGTAGTCCAAATAAAATCTCTTCTACTACTACAATCAAAGTGTAAGCCTGTACCCGCAGCTGGACGTAGGTATCTACAAGGCCGAACCACCAGACATACTCATGCTCATTCGCAAATTCTCCCCAAGCCAACTCCAAGGCAATTGCATCAATGGTCTCCACGACCTCTGTCCTCGCCCTCGGCTTCACCTCGCTAGTGGCTTCCAGCGTCGAGGCCCATGGCAAGTTGGTCAAGCCTGCACTCACGTTGACGGGCACTGGGTATGGAGGGAACTTCCAGTCCACCATCCCCATGACCTCGCTGACCCCCAAGCCGGGTGACATCTTCACCACCTACCCCGACTACTCCAAGAACACTGCGGCGTTTGACCGTGCTCTCAAGGCGTCGCAGTACAAGTCGCTCAAAGAGTTCATGTACTCGACGCAGGACATGACCAAGGGCCGCTTCAACCTGCCCAAGACCGCCGAGTGCGGATTCACAGACCCCGTTGACGGCGCAGTGCAGCCCCTGCCGGACCAAGTCGAATGGTACGGCGGCGGAATGATCCACGACGGACCCTGCGAGATCTGGTGCGACGACGAAGTGGCCATGCCCTTCACGCCCAACTGCCGCGCGGCGTACCCGGACGGCAAGTTCCCGTACGAGAAGGCCAAGTGCGAGGGCAAGAAGCGCCTCACCATGTACTGGTTGGGGACGCTGCTCGAGTGGCAGGTCTACATCGACTGCGCCAAGATCGGTGAGGGAGGCTCGGCGACTTCCAACAACACCGCCGCCGTTGCAGCTGCGGCCAAGAAGGGCCCCAGCAGCTTCTCGACTGGCACTGAGAGCCCGGTTGGCACAGTCAGGCCGGCGGTGTAAGCACTACTACAGCTATACGTGTAGGCAGTTGAGGAATGGTACGAAGTGGGAAAAAAATGTTTGCTCAGGGTTGCACGGCGCAACTGAGTCGAGCAGATGTGGTTCAACATGATGAACAGTGAGTTGCGTGCGGGTTTGTAATTATTTCAAAATAGCAGGTTTCTCTGAAGGCGACAAAAGTCTGGGGCTTGTTATCGTGGATACATCTACGATACCATGCCCATCGTGCATGGGATCGCCTCCCCCACATGGCTCGAGCTCGTCGAGCGCGCCTCACGTCGGAAGGGTTGAACAACGACCCAGAGTTCCCGCAGGCCCTGCCTCTCACCCAGATGTGGAGCACGGCGTTGACGTTGAAGTGGCCGTGACGCACACCGCGTCGGGATCGGCAACGCGGCGCATCGATGCTGGAGGGGGCCTCCTTAATGAGGGCCTCGAGACCGGCATTCAAGGGTCGAGGCTGCACCTTTATCACTGCGTTTCCGCTACTCGAAGCTTCACGATACGTGAAGGTAGGTTCTCGCAGAGATTGTCGACGAGCTGAATGCGAATCGCTTCAGTTTGTTAAACGACTGGCCCGATCCGTAGATGGGTCCATTTTGCGGCTGATCGGCGACGCGCTGCGGGTCAGAACACGCCATCTCCATGACGCTGAAGACGTTGTGGCCGCCTGCAAACATGGCTCACGGCACCGCCGTTCGAGCCTGAGGTGACCACCGACCAGGTCTCGCGGCTCGGCAAGGTAATTGCCCCTTTCCGTACTTGTATTCATTTCTGCTGAAACCTCTGATAATACGTATCCCATGTGGATACACCAAGTTGATCAAGTCAACAGTTTAGAAAATGGACTCTGTTAACACATAACCCTACCAATCGGATGGTTGAGTCCTACCTGCTTGGGTCGCCCAGCTCAATATCAAGAACCACGGAGTATTTGTTATAACAGATACTCTGCCGTTTTCGCTTCGGTAATAACCAAACACAAAACGACATTGAACCCCCTCCATATACCACATCACTCTCAATACTTAATTTCCCACAGGGCAGCAGGTCTGAGAACTGGCCGTTCCGCGGCCAAGAGAAACTCCATGTTCACAAGTCAAAGTGGGCCCTGCAGTCTCCAGTGGCGCCCAGTGGTTCACAATCCGCGCGGAGAGCAGCATGCCCACAGGCCTTTGCGCCGCTCAAGCCCGCACCACCCCCAACTCCATCTAACGCTAATAGCCACTCTGCACAAGTCGCAGCAGCCCTCATGGCGAGCGCGGACGCAGCCACCGCCCTTCGGCGATCACAAGACGACGACGCGGACAAACACCGCGACCTCCAGCAGCAGAAGCAAGAAGAACTAGAGCAGCAACAGCAGGACCAGGACCAGGAGGACCGCAGAGTGCACGAGGTCACCGAGAGCTCCTCGGACGAGAGCGGAGACGAGAGACCTGCCAGACCCCACACTATGACACAGAACGTCGAGGATTTCGGTGATCAAGTGGCAGCAGAAGCTGAGGCTGCGACTGTTGAGGACGAAGACGAAGGAGAAGGAGAAGAGAAGGCGCCCGACATGCCGGCGCCCGAGGTGGTGGAGAAGATGCGCGCGGGCGTGTACATGCCCGAACCGGGGGAGGAGTTCTACAACACCAAGAACGTGGCGGACATGCACTACCTGTTCACGAACGACAAGCTCAAGGAGGAGTCGCCCGCCGTGGTGCTGCGCTCCGACCCGTTCTGCATCCCGCGGGTGACGGACAACGTGCCCAACTACAGGCCCATGCTGAACCCGCTGAGCATCTTCCTCGGGGAGGACAAGCTGCTGCCCGGCAACTTCCGACTGGACCCGTCCGAGCGACCGCCGAAAGCCGGCGAGAGTGTCGCCTCCAAGAAGGATGGGACACCGAGGGTTACGAACGGACGCACGCTGCCTGCCCCCCCGCCTGGAAGCTCGTCATCATCCACGAGCAGCGGCAAGCAGTTCCGAGGCAAGACCAGTGCGTTCATGGGCACGATGCCCCGTCAGACGGAGTTTGCAGAGATCCCGGTGTCCGAGAAGCTGTTCCAGAACCACGAACTGTTTCGACCGTCGTCGTCGATTCCACGAGTTCCAGCGTCTCCGAGGGATAAGCGTCCAGCCACGTCGATCGGCAGCAACAGGCAGTTCAGCACCAGCAGAGCAGAGGAGAACCAGGCGTCGACGTCGTCCGCGGGTGGAGTGACTGCTACCGGCACTGCGGCTACCTCAGCCTCGCTTTCGGATGCGATGTTGCTGTCGTCCATTCAGCACACGCTGGACGTGACGACTGCTGCGCTGACATCGACTGACGGCACCGTGCCTTCGCTAGACAGTGCCGCCAATGCGCTATCGTCGGCGTCTGAAACTGCGCCTACGTCATCCGGATACCAGATCCAGCAGCTTCAGCCTCTGGATTCGGTCGCGGATACGCTCACCAACTATTTGCCGACTCGCAGTGCTTCATCTACGCAGGACGACGGACGGCCTATGGAGGGACAATACTTCAGCGCGCCAGGGGGATACAGTGCCGCCACCGGCTCAATGGGCTATGCCCCCAGCGTTCCTGGCACGTTCGGCAGTATGCTTTCGCCGGTTGACACGCAAGTCAGCGCTCCGTACCCAGGTCTCTTTGTCGACAGCGGCGAGGCGCAACCCGCCAACCAGGGCATGCAGTCCTTCCACAGTGCTCTTAGCGCGATTTCAATCACGACTCCGACCAACGGCGCGGCGCAGATTCACACGGGTCTTATCACTCCTCAGGGTGGTGCTGCAAGGTCCGGTGTGACTACACCGCGTCGTCCTGGAGCGAAGAAGCCGCGCGCGAAGAATGTCTTTCGACCGTGCACTACCCCGGGCTGTACGAAGGGTGCTCGTGGCAAGTCTGGACTGTGTCAAAAGCACGGCGGCGGCAAGCGTTGTGCAGCTCCGAACTGTCCGAAGGGCGCACAAGGCAGCAGCAGCATGTGCCTCTTTCACGGAGGTGGCTACCGCTGCACGGTTGAGGGATGCACTACGGGTGCGCGTGGAACGTCGGGCTTGTGTGCCAAGCACGGTGGCTACAAGAAGGGCAAGGCTGGCGCGGCTAACGGGAAGCGCGGACCTGACGTAGATGCCTCAGCAGCCAAACGCGTGCGCACCGACGAACCGGAGCAACCGCCAGCCACTGTCCAGGCAGACTAACAGGTCTCTAACGACCGTATTTAATATGAAGTGTTCATTTGCTATTCGGCTTGGCTTCCTCTGAGCTTTTTGGAGTCGAACTTGGGCATGGAATGACAAAAGCTTGGTGCTTGAAGGGCTCTCGACCCCGCTTAAAAATCGATCCAGAATTTTCTTCTCAATTCCTTCTCATTCCAGAATCCTCCTCGCAAAAAGATGGTAGAGCTCGTGTTAACATGCGCGTTTGCTGGTGAGGAGGGAGGCTCGTTCAATGTGGTAATCGAGGATTGGAGGAAGGTGGCCTCGTTGAAGACGGCGATCAAGCACGAGAACCAAAACAAGCTGAAAAATGTCGATGTGAAGGATCTGCAGCTCTTTTTGGCGAAGTATGGCGAAAGGTGGCTCAGTGCGGCTGGCGCGGCGGATGTGACGCTAAAACTCCCCCTAAAGCTCGATGAGGACGAATATCACCAAGGCTTCAAGTGGATGGACCCTTCACTGTGGATCAAGGACGTCGAGTACTTCGGCGAGAACTTTCAACCAGGTGAAGGCCAAGTTCACGTTCTGGTGGTGGTTCCCCATCAGTCAGCAGTCTGCACGGCTGCCTTGGATAACCCGGAGAAGTTTGCTCAAGAGTGCGCTTCATTGACTGAATGGGACGTGGGTGCCGTGCACCACATCCCGTCCATCTTCAGATTTATGAGTACTTTCGGCGGATGCAGTAACGACGGGAAGATTTTTTGGAGACTGGAAGAAAAGAAAGTGGTGCAGGTGTTCACGGTTGGATGGTTTCGCAAGACTACGCACATGAACAAGAAGAGTATTCTGATCGGGTCTCCGGGAATCGGCAAGTCGACGCTCTTGTGCGTGCTGGCGTTCTATCTTGTGCTCAAGCACCACAAGAATGTGCTGGTGTACCGACGCTTGAAGAAACTTGGACAGGAACCGGAACCCTGCCTGATTTACCTGGGCTACGAAGATGGCGAGGTCGTACAGTTTTCAGAGCAGAGGTGCAAGACGCAGCGAGCTGTTGAAGTTTACGATGGTCTCATTCAGCAGCATGGCGTTGGGAACGTCTGGTTGCTGTTAGATGGCTTCCACTACGGAAGTATCCCGGAAGGGCTGGAGACGTTCAACTTGCTAGCGACATCACAGCGAGTAGACTTGACGTCTCAAGAGCGCAAAGAGGCATACTGTTGCTTGTTGCCTTGCTGGTCGGAGAAGGATTTGTGGTCCTTGGGACGGTTGATTTACAACTTTGGAGCTGACGAAATGGACGAACGATACTACTACTCTGGCGGAAGCGTGCGTGAATTTACGCTGGACACTCCGGAGGGAATACGCCAGGCCATCGATGATGCAACCAGTGAAGTGGAGAAGGTGGCGGCTCTCTTTTCCAACCAGCTTAACATATTGGCTGGGGATACACAAGTCGATATTTTGCGGCGTACGTTTGTCGGAAACAATGACCCTCTCACAACAGAACAGCTCACTGCTCGACGGTACTGGGTGCAATCCATTGACTCTGAATACGCTGTTCGTGCACTCTCACTCAGAGTGGATTCAGACGCATTGTACCAGATTTACACCTGGGCGCGAAGGACTGAACACGCATCGCTGGCTGGAAGCGTTCTCAAAATCTACATACACAAGCTTGCTTCTGACAACGCATTGAATCTCTACATCGCAGAATATGATCCGCCGGCATTCAGGAAACTGGAAGAACCTCGGTATCAAGATTATAAATTGCTGACGTTGTGCAAAGGTGGAGCTGTATGTTGGGGGACGGCTAGCCATTACAAAACTGAGCTGGTGCAGTGGCGAGATTCAAAACAGCTGACCTATTGGTACCCCGCTAGCGATAGCTTTCCCAACATCGACAGCATTGCCAAGATCAAGTCCGTAAGTGGGAAGAAGAGCGTGGCATATCTGCAGATTGTTGGTGCCAGGAAGCACAAGATTAGCGAGCAAGAACTGATGAACATGAACAAAATATTCTACCCAGCTGGTGTCGAGACTACTAAAGATGCGGACCCACCAATTTTCATTGCAGTTTGTCCGGATCGTTAGTCGTGCGGCAATTTTGTGTTGAAGTCATCAGCCGAAGTCCTAGCAGTGAGAAGATTGCTCCCAGGCCGCGTGTTCGTTGGCTACTACGAGGAGGACCGTTTTGCAGTTGCTGCAGCTGGTCCAAGAAGCAGGGTACCTGTTACGGTGTTGCGCCCAGCAGCACCATACGAAACCCGAAAGCGACAGCGTATGGGAGAAGGTAAAGCTACAAGGCGTTCGTTTTAGGTCTTTGGGCCGCTCATGACCTGTCTCTCATGCAATCGCGTTGCAGCTTTACTGCATTTTGAACTTGTTGGTTGCGTTCACGAGTTCTTTCACGGTTGGTGGCTCCATTCCAGAGTGGCCGGAAGTTTGGACAACGTGAAGCTCGGATTTGGGTAACACCTTGTGCAGATCCCACGCCGTCTGCACTGGGGCCACCACGTCGTATCTGTACATCGCGAACAGAGAGATATGTGTCGTCAGCAAACAGTTTTGTACAGTACTGCTGCCGTGGTAAGATCTTACCTTCCGTGCACGATGACAGTTGGGATATGGCGGATCTTAGATGCGTTGACAAGCAGGTAGTCGTCCGACGCGAGAAACCCTTTGTGAACCAGGTAGTGGTTCTCAATGCGGGCAAATGCCTCGGTTGCCTTCGTGTTGGTCGCCACTTTTTCAGCAGCGTCAGACTACAAAGTGGAGTACAAACGATATCATCACGTGCAATCGAGATAACATCGGCAGGGAAGTACTTGCGATTCCTCTTACCGACGGAACTAGGTTGCTTATTGTGCGCTCCCAAGTGGCCCAAGCGATTGCAGCAGGTACACGCACCGCTGCGTCATCGCAAGTCAAACGCGTGTGGTACGCAGCCACGATGTCATCCCGTTCTTGTTCTGGGATGGTGTCTCGAAATGCCTCCCACCGATCAGGATACATGACGTTTGCTCCATGCTACAAGGGTCCAGCAAGTAGTTATCAAGATAGTGGTGAGTACGACTGAATAACCACCTTGCCCGCAATTGACGCTTACTTGGTACGTCCAGTCGATTTCTTGCTTGCGCAGAAGAAATATGCCACGCAAAACCAGCTCCAGCACTCTCTCTGGGTGAGAGATCCCGTACGCGATTCCCTGATCAATTACAGCAGTGCTGTTAGCCAGTCATCCCACCACTAAACAGGAGCGCGCAGGACGTACCAGGGTACTACCCCAAGACCCTCCAAAAACTTGCCAGCGCTCAACCTGCAAGTGCACCCGTAGCTTTTCGAGGTCGTCCACCAAGTGCCACGTGCTACATGTAGAAGGAGTCAAGTGAGGTATTGCGTGGAGTTCGGGCTTTTGACACAATCGTACGTGTTGTCTTCCAGTGATGCGAACGGCGTACTCCGCCCGGCACCTCGCTGATCCAATAGAATGATCCGGTAGTGTTGAGGGTCGTGGTAGCGCCGCATATCTTCCGAGCAGCCACTCCCTGGCCCGCCGTGTAAAATGACCACAGGCTGCGAAAGACGCTTCGGTCAATGATTCAACGCCTCTCCTTCCTAGCGCCGCTGCACTCACCTTCCCCGCTGGATTGCCGCACTCCTCATAGTAGAGCGTATGGATTGGAGACACCTCCAGCATCCCCTTGTTGAACGGCTGGATCGCCGGGAAAAGAAACGCGTCGACGTCGAGTCCCTCCTGCATGACCAACAGCCTCACACTACTATCGTCGTAGGATTTCTGGATATGAGCTGTGCATGATGTGTATTGAATGGGCGGATGTACAGTACACTCATCAAACTGCATCAAATGGGTATCTTTGCCACGTAGAGCACCGTCTCATGCTGATCAGCGCAATGCGATCTTTGTACAACTTCAACGCCATTGCTACAAGCGATGGAGTTTACAGCTTCTTGAACTTGTTGGTGGCGTCGACCAGCTCCTTGGCGATTCCAGGCTCCATGGCCGAGTGGCCCGCGGTCTGCACCACGCGGAAGTCAGCCTCGGGAAACGCCTTGTGGAAGTCCCAGGCCGTCTTCATGGGGCAAACCACGTCGTATCTGCCAAGCAAGAACATCGTTAGCTTGCTAGTCTTGCATATTGATTTCTGCTGCTTTCGACGCCCCTTACCGTCCCTGTACGATAACCGTGGGAATGTGACGGATCTTGTAGGCGTTCTCGTTCAAGAACTCGTCCGTCGGGAAGAAGCCCTTGTTATAGAAGTAGTGGTTCTCAATGCGCGCGAACGCCTCCGCGAACTTCTCCTCGTCCATCGACTTTCCCTCCGCATCCGCCTAAAGCACAATGACACCCTCGTTACTTTACCACACAACCTCCATCAAAGCCCCATCCTTTAAGACCAACTTACGGAAGGGATCAAGTTGCTGGTTGTCTTCTCCCACGTCGTCCAGGCGAGCGCCGCAGGGATGCGGACAGTCGGGTCGTCGCTCGTGAGGCGCTTGTGGTACGCCTTCACGAAGTCCCCGCGCTCTTCCTCGGGAATGGCATCCCGGTACGCCTCCCAGCGGTCCGGGTACAGGAAGTTGGATCCGTGTTGGTAGTAGAAGTCAATTTCCTGCTTGCGCAGGTGGAAAATGCCCCTCAGCACCAGCTCCGTCACCCTCGTAGGGTGCGTAATAGCGTACGCAATCGACTACAAAAACCACAACAAACACCACCATCAACACCCCTCCAATTCCTCAAAAAACCCAAAACTTACCAAAGTGCTGCCCCAGGACCCTCCGAACACCTGCCACTTGTCAATGCCCAAATGACGCCTAAGCTTCTCCATGTCCTCCACCAAGTGCCACGTCGTGTTGTCCTCCAGTGACGCATGGGGTTTACTACGCCCCGACCCGCGCTGGTCCACCAAAATGATGCGGTAGACCCGCGGGTCGTGGTACTGTCTCATGCTGGCGGAGCAGCCCGCACCCGGGCCGCCGTGCACCATGATCGCAGGCTTGCCGTACGGGTTGCCGCACTCTTCGTAGTACAGTTCGTGCACGGGGGAGACTCGAAGCATCCCCGTGTTGAACGGCTGGATGGCCGGGTACAGGAACTCCTCGGGGCTGCACAAGTAGTGGGGCTCGGTGACAGTCTCGTTCTTCTTCTTCTTGGGCTCCGAGGACGCCGTGGTCGAGTAGCTCACGGCGAGGGACGTGAGCGCCACGGCGGACAGCGCCAGCGCCGCGCGACGCGCCTGTTGTCGCTCGTTCTTGGTGGGGACGTTCACGGGACGCGGGTGGGCGTTCCTGCTACTTGGGAGGGCGAGCAGCTGCAGCGTCTTGCCGCCCGAGCGCCGCAAGGAGGAGAGCTTGGAGCAGATCTTGAGCATCGTTTGATGTCTTCTTCAAATTGAAAAAATGAGCGTAAAGACACGAGATGGATTTCTATGGAGTGATGTTGAGGATGAATGTTCGCTGTTGGGAGGGAGGTGAGTATGTGGGAAGAGGTTTTTGTACATTTGAAGATCTTCTTGGGTGTGAAATCTCCGTGGATTACGATACCGGGTTTCGGCGTTGAAGTGGAGATTGTTTTTCTAGCGGAATGACCGCGATGGCCATCCAACGACGATGTCGATTGACGATTTGCTGCTGCCTTGTTTGATTCTGCTGCATCTGCTCCTCTCCGTCGGACCATGGCACTGCGAATTCCAGTCGAAACGCTCTTGACCTTCTCGTGTGTGGTTGTTTTACTTTGCATGGCGTCGAGCTGTTTTTTTGGTCCGCGAAGAGTGACGCGCGAGATCAAGTTCACGCCTTTTTCTTCTTCAGCATCTTCTTGTTGCGCATATCCTCCCTGAAGTCCTCGTACTCGCCATACAGAGCACTGTAAGTAGCAATAGCAGGGATAAAGTTAGTTAGTAAGTAGGTAAGCAAGCCAGGGGGAAGGAGCACCGTGAAGGTGAAGCTGGTGGTCGTACCTGCGCTTCTCCTCCTTCTGAATCTCGTCGAACGTGGCCTCCATGTTGATCGAGTCGTCCGAGTCGATCGAGTATCGCCGCTTCCGGTTCTTGCGGAACATGGCCGCAATGTGTCCAGGACGGTACTCGCCATCGTCACTCACCACAAAGCTGTCGTCCGAGTCCTCGTCCTCGAACGGGTCGTGGCGCCGCATGCGCGACTCCTTCTGGAAACGATCACGGCGCTGCGAGGCCGCGGAGGTCGAGTGCTTATGCCGCAAGTCGTCCAGAGCCTGCTGGATCAAACGGTGGTGGCCCTTCTTGGGCACCAGTGACGGCAGGTCGGACTTCTCGATGGTGCTGAGCAGCTTCACCGAGTCGAAGCCGTTCTCGAAGAAAGCTGGAGCGTACTCGCTCATGTCGACGCTCAAGCCCTTCAGCCATGAGATCACCTCTCGCTGGCTCTCTGAGTAGTTCACCTCCTTCCGCTTGGCAGCGGCGCTGGTCCGTTTCTTGGCCCCACCGGCCGTCTTGCTGCTGCTGCTTGAAGACGCACCCACGCCGCACACGCGCGGGTACATTTTGTCCAGCATCGCCTTGCGCGCGTCCACAGCAGGTGGCAGATCCCTCGGAGCCGATCCGCCTCTCGATGACGAGGCGCTAGACGGCCGCGATCCAGGTCGTGACCTTCCGTTGGCCTGTGTGCTACTGCTGCTGCTGCGCGCGCGCTCGGGCTCGCGGCGATCTCCGTCCCGATCGGCCTGCCCAGATAGCGCCTTGTATTTAAGCATGCGCTGTCGATGTCTCTCTTCTGCTGACCTGTAGCCATGACGATAGCATCAGAACTCTGCCGGGCACAGTACCTGGTAACACATCCAGGAAACTTACATGTTGGCTAGTGACGTCGGCGGACGTCTGGCCTGTGGCTGAACTCTGGACGCGGGCAGGACCCGCCGAGCCACTGGCGGTGCAGACGCCGCTCTGTGGTTGGCGCCGGAAAGCGGACGACGTTGCGCCAGCTGCGCTCTTCCAATAGAGCTCCTGGAGGGCGCAGTGGATACCGTCGTTCCCCTACGTCCCTTAGCAATAGGCCCGCTGAGCACCTGCACTGTCCTGGAGTCCCTCTTGGCGCGCTCACTGGCGTAGCCCTCCTGCAGCCTCTTCCTGGCGCTCTCCAGCCTCTTCTGATCCCCTGAATCTACTCAAAGGTAGAACAACAACACCATCAGCACTACCGCTCTGTCTCGCACTCTACTCTATGTGTTCTACCTTGCTTGGGCGGCGACGGACTGGGCGCACGCAGCCTGCTGCTGCCACTGCTGCTGCTGGTCTTGCTGCTGCTGCTGGTCTTGGTGGTGACGCCCACCTGGTCCATCCACTTCTTGGTGAGGCTCGTGCTGTAGCCGCGCACCACCTCGTCGTCGTGCTTCTTGAGCTTGTTCACGGCCGCGCCGATCTTGGTGCGCGTCAGCAGGTCCCTGTCCACCGTGAGCGTCGTGAGCCGCCCCAGCAGGCGCTGCATCTCGGGCACCACGCTCTTGTCCGACTTCCAGCCGTCGCGCTTCGTCACGTCCGCGATCTGGCGCGCCATGCTGGCCACGTCCTTCTCCCCCGTCAGCGCCATCTTGTCTCTGTCTCGGTGAGTATATAAGCCTCCTAGTACGAGTTCCTTCTTCCGGCGTCGGCGCCTGCCTGCCGCCCCCTTGTCCCTTGCTGACTACGCGGCGGACACCCACGTCTAACAATACCGACCGATCGGATGATGGAAAAACCTCGGGAGAGAGAATAAAACCTTCTCTTTGTGTGGTGCACGTAAACCGCGAGGACTGCGCACATAACGCTAAGTACGATGCTGCGGCTGCGGACGCGCTGCCCGCCGCGAGCGCTGCTGCGCACGACGACGGCGCGGCGCCATGCGTCGTACATTCTGGGCATCGAGACGAGGTGCAACGCGCTGGCTGTGTGCTGTATCCAATGTACAGTAATCGTTTACTGCTACTGCTGCTGCTATATAGCTGCGATGACACGGCGGCTGCGGTGCTGGACGGCGACGGCTGCGTGCTGAGCAGCGTCATCTCGTCGCAGTGGGAGCTCAACGCCAAGTGGAAAGGTTCGGACGCTGCTATTGCAACATTTTGCACGACTTTTCTAACGTTTGTACTGGTTGCTGCTGCAGGCATCGTGCCGGCGCTGGCGGCTCGAGCGCACGCGGACAACCTGCCGCATGTCATCAGCGCGGCCATTGAGCAGAGGTCGGGAATGGAGTATGGAAGTGCAATGGGTGATACGTTGCTGATAGCTGTTGTTGTTGCTGCTGCTGCTGTAGTGGACTGGAGAGCGTGCAGCAGTTGTCGGCGGTGGCGGTGACGTCTGGTCCGGGTTTGGCGCCGTGTCTGGACGTGGGGCTGCGGACGGCGCGACAGATTTGTCTGGACAACCCGGACATCGCGTTCTTGCAGATCAACCATCTTGAGGTGCGTTTGTAAGGGTGTTGTGGAATTGTTGGCTTGCTTATTCATTTGTTGTGTGGCAGGCTCACGTTTTGGTGTCGCGACTGCCGCAAGTGCGTTGTTTCGCGAGAACTGTCATGGTAGAATTGGAGTTGTGGAAGCTTGTACTAACCCTATGTGTACCATTAGCTGGAGACAACACGGCCGGAGTTCCCGTTCGTCGTTCTGCTCGTGTCCGGAGGCCACTGCTGCCTTGTCCTCGCCAAGGGTCTCGGTGATTACGAAATTTTGGGCAACACTCTTGATGACTCCATTGGCGAAGCCTACGACAAGGTTGCGAGAATGCTGGACATCACTGCTACAGGCGGGAAGGGCGTGCATGGCGGCAAACTGATCGAGGACATGGCTGCTCGCGGCAACGACCGGGCCTTCCCGTTTACTGAGCCCATGAAGCATCGAAAGGTGGGTCAGGGATGGTTCTGCGTGCGTGTGATCTTTAGTGTGTTTGAATGACTGACCGCGTTGCCGTTTCCAGGACTGTGACTTCTCTTACTCCGGAATCAAGACGGCGATGCTTCGGGAAGTCAAGAAGGTAAAATATATCGGGTTTTGGTGGTGCGTTATTACAGGTAGCTAATCTCGCTCGTTAACAGCTCGGCGAACTAGATGAGAAGACGAAGGAGGACTTGTGCGCTTCGTTCCAGGTAAGCGAAGTGTGTTTGTTTCTTGACATCTACGTTTGCCTGATAGTTATATCTTGTGTTGTCAGCGTAAGGCAGTAGACCAGCTTATCACCCGAACGCGGCGAGCTTGTCAATGGGGCAAGGACCGCATGGGAGACCGCGTTTCAAGCCTTGTACGTTCACTTTCATAATTCGGCAGGTTTGTTATTAGTTATTCAGAACTAATGGCTATCGCTGTCTGTAGGTTGTGTGTGGAGGTGTGGCATCGAACCAGTATCTTCGTGGCCGCATGCAGGCGGCTGCAGAGGAGGAAGGTCTTGAAGCTGTGTTCCCACCAGCGAAATACTGCACTGATAACGGAGTCATGATTGCGTGGGCGGGGCTTGAGCGATACAATAAGGGAATGCGCAGCGATCCGGAGCCTGCGCGCTATCAGCCACGATGGCCCCTGGAAACACTGCAACCACTGTAGTGTCGTGCATGCGGTTTGTGCAGTTCAACCAAGCATAGATAGACTAGGTAGCATCTAATAGAGCAGCGTTCTTGACTCTAACGTAGCTCTTTTTCTAATACTACTACTTGTATCTTTTCACGGGGCAAGTACTTCGAAGTAGTGGGTAATTCTGTGGTTGGCACAGCATTCGGCCAATGTGTAGCTAGCTGGCCGTCGCGAGTACTCAAAGTCAGTTGGCAAAAATTGCCAGCGATCAATCCTCTCTGCCAAGTTGACACTCTGCTTGAAGTGAATCCACGGTTCCCACCGCTTGTGGCCACCATGAAACCCTCAGCTGCAAGTCTCTGCCTTTTACCACGAATGCCCGGCACAGGATTCAAGGAGTTGGTATCACTTTCGAAGAAGGCGATGCAGCTTGGCCTGCGTTTCTGACAGATTTTGCAGCTCCTTCCAAATACGTTCCATACCAGTAGGTGGTGCAGTATCACGACACAATGTAGTCTCTGCAGTGAAACCCTCCTTGTAGTCGACATCCTGTTGAGTCTCTGGCAGATTCACGCAGCTCAAGAAGTTATTGTAGTCGATGTATCCATCCTTTCCGGTATCAAACTTTACAGCGAGCAATTTAGCGTCTACATCGCTGAGGGTAACACCAAGGTAGTCCATGACCAACTGGAACTGCTTGATAGTCACTACTCCTTGACTGGAGCGGTCGTATTTGAGGAAAAATCGCCTCACCTCGCGCTCCGAGGGTGCAGTTGTAGTTGCACTCTTTCGCTCGTACCATCGCTTTAAGAACGCTTCCCAGTTGAAAAATCCCCACAGCAATTCACGGTAATCTATCTCTCCGCTGTTGTCGGCGTCGAACCGAGTAAAGAAGGCCATGCTCTGCTCTTTAGTAAGCTCAGCCGAGTCTCCAGTACCATTTTCTCGAAGCATACGCTGGAATTCATTGTAGCTCAGCGCCCCACTTCGATCGAGATCGTATCGGCGGAAAATGTCGACACTTTCGTTGGAATATAACAGCAAGCGGCGGACTTTACGCATTGCGCTCTCCAATGCACTCTCCTTTGCAGTCACTTTGGCTTCCTCCAAGCTATGACGGCGGCCATGTAGATCGTACACAGCATCTTCATCCCGACTATTGCCGGTGACAAGCTCCATCTCTTTCTTTGAAAGAGGCCCGGGCCCGATAATGGCACCACGCGTGGACTTTTCGGTGTTGCCTAGTACTACGCGAGTTTGACGCTTTATTCGCTCTTGGTCTCGACGGGCGGCAATCGATGCCTGCTTCACCTTGGACTCCATTATGCTCAACTCATCGCGGTACTCCAGTGTATCCGCTATCAACTGTCGGACAGCCTGTGCATCGCGCCGCTTCTGTTCGTTCACGCGCACCTTACGCGCAGACTCTTTCAGGAGCTGTGTGTGACGGAGTTGCGCTAGTCGCTCGACCTTGTCACGCTGGCACTTTGCAGTTTGTACGTCACGCCGTGATGCATTGAGTTCCTGCTGAAAGTGTCGTCGGTCTTCACTCCACTCGTCAGATGGTTCCTCAAGGTTAACTACATCCAACGAGTCGAGACGTGGATTCAGCCGTACGATTGTTGGCTTGAGTAAAGGTTTCTCGCTCTGCTCAGTTGAAGCAGTCGAAGCGAAAGAGTGTCCTAAACTGCGACTACTGCTGGTTCGGACCGATGCTTTCTTTTTCAGTGGCTGCTTCGCCAAAAGACCTTCATCACGACTCAATTCCTTGACTTGAGTAGCAGTCTCCGCTGGTCGACCCGTAGCTTCATGCTCTTGCGGTGTTTCATTGCCAGAATTTGCAGCTTCAGCTTCGGCTTCCTCTTCAGAACTTGGCTCAACCTCTTCGTACGGAGGCGGCAGATCCTCGTCGTCCTCTGTTTCTTGATCACTGTCATCATCATCGTCCTCAGTCTCCCCATTGTCTTTGCCGCCATCCACCACGGGCTCGCTCGAGTCGCCTGCCTCAAACATGAACGCATCATGCTCGACACTACACTCAGCGCCTTTCTCGCCGCACATGAGCACCACCCACTCGTCTGCGAGTTTGTCACCAACAACACCTTCCTCCTCCTCTTCTTCACCCTCCGTTGAAGTTGCCGGAGCCACGATCATCCAGGCCAGCAGCCACCCCGCGAGCTCCTCCTTCGGGGGCGCAGGCACCTGCCCGCCGCCCGCCAGCCATTTCTTCAGCTGCCGGTCCAATAATTCGTTGCCGCCTTCTTCCCCGCCCGGCGGCCGCCGCTGCTCGGCGTCAGGTCCGACGAACGCGAACTCAAAGGCGCGCAGCATCTGCCGCTGGTTCACGAGCCGCATCAAGGACCCGCTGGGCGTCAACACGCCTCCCGTCTCTGCTCCGGCCTCCGTCAGCAGCTCCAAGTCGAAACGCAGCGCGAAGCCCGGCGTCCGCTGCTCTGCCACTGACACCCGCGCGCTCACCGCTCGCTGGCGACTCGCATCGCTGCTCCACGGCGCCACCGCCACGCGGAAGGCCTCGCACTCCCAGTAGAACGCGGCGGCCATGGCTAAATTCACTTCGAGATGCTGCAGTCAAGGGCAACGTCACTCGACTTGCCTGGTCGCAGCTATTCTCAGACGAACGTCATTGCCGGAAAATGGCGACGTCACTGCAACCTGCTCTCATGTTGCCTTTGTCTGAAACTGCTCGGCGTCAACAATCCGCGAGCTCTGTTTATGCACGCCATACACCCGACTTTAGTGGCATGTACCCATCTTGACTCAAATATTACTACTGTCTAAAGATTACAAAAAGACTTAAAGACTATGTTCTAGTAGTACAGTAGGTCATTCAACCAGTATCAGTAATATGAGGGGAATATTAACAGTTGTAGCCGACGTAGTTACTCCTCGTTATCCGACGTTGTCGGAGTCCTTGGACCAGCGATTGATTCATCCATAAGCGATAGCACTTTGGCCCCTCTTCACGTTCTTGCTTCACAGGTTGGAATCCCGCTACTGTTTGTTTTACTTGTACGAGTACATTTTTACTATTCCTGATAATCCTGATAACTGTCGTACTGCATAGTACTACTGACGTACACATCCAATAGTACTATGTCGTTATCCGCGGGTATCTGAGTTATCGGACACCGGAGAAAGTCAGGGCAGCTGCTGGACGAATCAGCTCGGCGGCGATCTCCGCCTGAAACTGGTCGAAGGTACCGGCTGCGGAGGCGGCTCAGGTCTTGCACGACGATTGGCGCTAGTGCGTCACAATTGCTCAGGGCCCAAGGCCGTAACAGAGAGGAGAGCGAGCGATGTACATGCGGCTGCTGCTGGGGCTTCTGCTGGCGCTGGCGCTGGCCGCCCCCGCCGCCGCCAAGGACGCAGTGATGCGCACGCGGCCCGTGCTGCTCATGCCGGGCTTCGCGTCCTCGCAGCTGCAGTCCTGGAGCCACCACCGCTGCGAGACGGGCTTCCGCAACAACCTGTTCCGGGACATCAAGTTCGGCGACCGGCTGTGGATCGACGTGGCGCGCGTCCTGGCGCAGAGCGACTGCTGGCTCCAGTGCATGAAGCTCGACATCACGACCCAGGAGGAGCTCGCGTGCAAGCTGCGGTAAGGCGCAGACAGGTGGATGGATACCATTCAGCAGAATGAATTGATTTTTTTGCTGTTTGTAGAGCTGCTCAGGGACTGGCAGCAGTGTCCGAGCTGGATCCGGGCATTGTGACGGGTCCGTTGTCGACTGTGTGGAGAGATATTATCAATGACCTGGTGCAGCACTTCGAGCTCGACCCGGATCAGCTGATCGTTGCTACGTACGACTGGAGAATGCCGCCGAGCAAGATGCAGGAGCGCGACAAGTACTTCTTCTCGCTCAAGAAGAAGATCGAGTACACGGTTGAACTCGATGGCAATGTCGGTGGGCTGGTGGTGATCGCGCACTCGATGGGGAACGGAGTGTTCAGGTATTTCCTCGAGTGGCTGAAGGAGGAGGTGGGGCGCAACAATTGGCAAAAGTGGATCGACCAACACATCTCGGCCTACTTCGCTGTGGGCTCGCCGCTGCTCGGAAGTGCGGAATCTCTTGAGCTGATCTCGTCGGGACTGACGGAGGGATTGCCCGTCACGCAGAGCGAGATGCGCAAGCTCGTTGTTTCATTCGGTACGTTTTATCTCGGCTCAAGACTGATGTCGTACGTGTCTAATGGGGCTTATCAACGTGTTGCAGGCTCCATCTTGAGCTTCATGCCGATTCCCTCCGGTTTGAACTCGGCGAAGGACGATGAAGTGCTTATCAGGGTGCGGTCGCAGCAGGGACTGATCCCTGGCGACGATAATGTACTGCACCGCAACTACACCAGCGCCGATATTGCATCAGGACAGCTCTTCCGCGATATGTCGGCCCATGACCCGATCTTCGCCAAACTAGAGACACTCCGCCAGAAATTCTACGTGAACGACCACGTATTGGACTTCTTCAAGCCCTGGGAGCGTCCTCCGATCGCTTCGGTCTACAGTGTCTACGGCGTCAACGTTCCGGTAAGTCTTAGTACCCTTATATTCCTCAGCACTGATCGAACTTGTCGCTAATATTTGTTTCGTGCTGACCTAACGCACCAGACTAAAAACTTTTACGAGTACGAGAATGGAGATACGCCTGGACATTGGTTCCAGTTGCAGTACCTGGACGAGGAAGGGCAGGAGCCCACCTGCAGCAAGACGGGCGATGGCACAGTCCCTTACCATTCTCTCTCGTGGGCTCACACGTGGCTGGGCACTAAAGGCTCCTCAGTGCGAGTCACCCAGACACCGCAGTCCGTTTACTTTTCTGCAGAAAATATCACGCGCGTCCGGGCTGTTCGCCATGGGAGCAACCATCATGCTGAGTACTCGCTGCTGAATGGGAAGCAGCCAATCTGCGAGGCGAAAACCGATTCATCGTCGTATGGTGCTAGCGGGACTGCGAGCTTCTTCGCCGGGCTCTTTGGACCGCTTAACCGCGATAGGATCACGTTTTTCGAAAGCTCCAAGGAAGTCGACGGCATCTCTCAATCGGTGCGTGTAAAACCCCCATAAGCATCGGGATACTTCTTTATCAACTAATTTTGCTCTATGTGTTGTATTCCAGACTGGAGTGTGGGAAATCGATGGCGTCGGTCATCGCGATATTCTCTCCAACCCGGCATTTCTGCGCGAACTGCGCGCCGAGCTGCGTCATATCTTCAACGGCAAAACGAACTCGGACAAGGTAAGACCCCATCCAGTATGGTCGTTCTCCCTGAAAATCGGTACACTAACAAGTCGCTTGGTTTGTAATACCGTAGTCATCTCGCCCGCCGGTCATCGACAGCGACTGCTACTGGAACTATCGCTACGCTCGCTGCGAGTTTCCCGAGTTCTGCGAATACCGCTACGTCTTCGGTGATGTGACCTTCGATCAGTCCTGCCGTATTCGACGCAAGGGCGATCTTCCTGCCACACCAGCACACACGACGCCGTTCCTGGGTGTTTCGGCGTCAAGTCCAAACCTGGAGCCAGCCGAGTTTTCCTTTACTGGGCCGTACTGCTCCGCTCCCTGCTTGCCGATTTCGTCGTCCTCGTCCGACATCACGATGTCTTCGTCGTCCAATTTCAGCGGCCTTGGCTCTCTTCAACAAGAGCCGCTGCAGCCATGAAAGGTGGCGAAGAGACTTCCCTTCAACGTAGTAGAACTAGTGAGTACAATTCCTAAACGGTAGCTGCAAAGTATGAAGCTTCGTATTTCTCCAATTGCAATTGACACGATTCCCTTGCCTAAATGGTAGGGTCTTGACTCGACTTAACTCAATTCAACGGATCGGCTGCCTTTACTGAAGGAGAACGTCCGCGTGGTGGTTGATGTGGTCCTCCACGAACGAAGCGATGAAGTAGTAGCTGTGGTCGTATCCATCCTGGAGAAATGCAACGCCCAAACCAGTGTAAGTAAGGCACAAATCTCCTCACAGCACTAGTCAATGCAGCAACACTCACCTGCATGCGCAGCGTCACCTTCTGGCCCACCGAGTTGCAGGCGGCCTCGAACGCCTCGGGCAGCAGCTGCTTGTCGTGCAAGAAGTTGTCCTCGCCACCCTGGTCGATCAGAATCGGCTGGGTAATGGGTCCCTGGGTCAGGATAAGCTGCGTCGCGTCGTACTCCTGCAAGCAGAGCATCACAACGAGTGCGTTTGTCAGCACAAGCTCTTATACCCCTCTATCATTGGAAACCCACCTTCCAGGTCTCCTGGTCGACACCCAGGTATCCCGTGAAAGCCTTGATACCCCACGGGCATTGGCTCGGGTGCGAAATGGGCGCAAACGCCGAGATGGACTTGTACTGGGACTGCATCAAACAAACAACAGCCAGTCAGTATCTCCCAATACACGTTCACACCCCAGTCAAGCCTTGTCGTACCGGGTTGCGGATTCCGAGCACGAGGGCGCCGTGGCCGCCCATGGAGTGGCCCATGATGGAGTGCTTGTCCTCGAGCACGGGGAAGTTGGCGGTGATGAGCGCCGGCAGCTCCTTGGTCACGTACGAGTACATGCGGTAGTGCTCGTCCCACTTGGGCTCCGTGGCGTCCACGTAGAAGCCGGCGCCCGTGCCGAAGTCCCAGTTGTCCTCGTCCCCGGGGATGCTCACGCCGCGCGGGCTCGTGTCCGTGGTGACGATGGCGATGCCGCGGCTGGCCGCCACCTTCTGCGCCTCGGGCGCCTTGACGAACAGCAGCTCGTCGTTGCACGTGAGCCCCGCCAGGTAGAAGAGCACGGGCACCTTGTGGCTGTCGCTGGCGGTGGGCGGCAGGAAGATGCTGAACTTCATGGTGCACTTGGTGGTGGTGCTCTCGTGCGAGTACTGCTTGATGACGCCCCCGAAGGACTTGACCTGCTTCACGAGCTGCATGGCGCACGGACGGATACGGTAGGAGGGGCGCGAACTTGACCCAGAGGATACGATACGAGAGTGAGTCAGATCAGGGGCGGCAGTTGATTGGGATCAGTTCGTATTAATTACGGATCTTAGTTAAGAGTTAAACGTAATTTACGCAAATAGACCTATATTATAGCTGTATTTGCGATAATTGACCTGATAGGGTATTCATCAACGAGTACTTCAACGACCTTCACTTGGATGGCTTTGCCTGTATGATCCTCCAGAATGATAAGTACGCTGCTGAAAGGGATACGCTCTTCGTATTAATCGTGTATGGATATGTATCTACGGCCTAAATCATTGCGCTGACTTCCGAGAGCAGCGGCTGGATGGCGTTGAGTCCAGGTGTCGTGTTCAAGCGACGAATGACCTCAGCGAGTCCCAATTCAACCGACAGGCTACGAGCAGCCTCGAAGTTGTTCAGCAGACGGCCGAGGCCGACGATAATGCCCTCGATCGTCTGGTGCTGCACGGAAGAGGAAGTCTGCGCTCTGGAGAGGCGGTCCAGGGTTTCCACTGCGCCGCAGACGATGGTGGTGACCACCACCTCCTCTCCGATCTCGAGCGCCAAGCAGCAGTTGCTGATGATGTGAGAGCTCAGCACGCGAGCTTCTTGGCTGGTGGACGGGTCGGTGATAGTGGCAAACACGAACGGCAGGAATCGAGTCGAACCGGAGAGCGCCAGGTCGCTGAAACCCGGGTTGGCGAAGGCGTTCAGAAGCACAGCAAGCAGCAGCGTCTTCTGCGCTGCCGTCAGTGGCGAAGGCTCAGCCTCCGTAACATGCACGACGGCCTCAAAACACGGCTTCTTCTCTTCGGTAGCCACGGACGCGTTCGCTGGCTGAAGCAGCAGCACCCGTGACAAACCTAAGGCCGCGAAGAAGAACGAGGACTCGTGTCCCTCGGCCAGCAGTTTCTTGACGATCTTCCACCACTGCTCACTCTGGGTCGAGTCAACTTCCTGGTTGCCTGCTGCAACGTGTGCCGACAGAGCTTCAAGCGCGGACACCTCGTCATCAGACAGCAGGCTCTGTGTGTTGAGTGCCTTGACACGCTTAACCATCTTGTCCAAGTGAAGCGCCGGCGTTCCAGAGATTTTAAACCGCCGCGACGCAAGATTCACCGAGTTGCTAGACGCAGCGGTAGGCGCAGTGGAAGTGGGAGATGCTGCGGGCACAGCGAGGTTGGCGCGTGACGGGTCGTTGAACGGGATCGAGAAGAGCTGGTCGCCAGGCGCAGCATGCATCTGGTTGTTCATGTTCTCCAACATAGGCCTCAACATGGCACTGCGCACCACCAACAGAACAAGTCAGCATCAATCCTCATTGCACACGGCAACCTCTTAACAACATACCCAAACGGCGAGTTGAGCGCCTCGTTCGGCAGGTCGAGGATGTACTGCGGGATGCCCGAGCCCACGAGGAACTTGGACACCTCGTCCGAGAAGTTGTTGCAATTGTGGCGCAGCAGGTCGTACGTGGCGTCCGTGAAGCGCGCGCTGTTGTCGCGCAGGAACTGCTCCAGTTCCTGCAGTGAGCGACTCGTCTCGCCCAGAGCGACGGTGCGTATGGGATTCATGCCGTAGCGCTGCACCACCAGCTCGGGCGCCATGGCCTGGATGCCGCCGCCGCCGAAGAAGTACTCTTTGCCGAACACCAGCACGCCCGTGTGCCACACGCCGTCGATGACTTTGCCCAGCAGCGCGGGCGATAGCTGCCGTGCCATGCCGTGGCTCAGGTCGTACACGTGGAGGGTCACGCTGGACATGTTCACTTGCTCGGGTCGAGGCAAATTCGATACTGACCTTGGACGTGGAAAAACGACATGCACATTCGAGAAGGTACCATTAAAGTGGTACCTAACGTACGTCAGCGCAATCATTCATTTTGTGGACGAACACTCAGTGCAAGTTGCTGCTGGCGCGTCTCGATTCTCGGCCTCGCTTACTGGAGCGGCCGGTAGCCCTGCTTCTTGTTGGTGAGCGGGCCGTGGAACTTGCGGCCGAGGAAGAGCCCGGCGAGACCGGAGAGGATCACGAGCACCGTCGTGGTGAAGTACGACACGGAGCCCTTGCGCACCATCTCGACGACCTCCGCCTTGGCCACTTCACTGCTGGACGAGGCTGGAGCCGTGGTCTCAGACGCTGCGGAGGCGGAGTCTGCATCGCCACTTTCCTCGGCGCCGTCGAAGAAGCCCACCTGTTGCAGCCACCACTTGGGGTAGAAGATGGATTGCACCGTCAGCATCTTCGCGTAGAAGTTGGAGACCTGGTAGCCGTCGTGGAAGGCCGTGACCAGGTAGTCGAACAAGTCCGCGGACGCGGTGTGAGCGCGCTGGGCATACTTCTCGCTCTCCTTCGTGAGGAAGTCGACGAGAGCCGGCACGCCGCCGTTGCGCTTGCGCTGCGCTGCCTCGATGATCACGGTGTTGAGAGTACCTTCCGCGTGGCTTTCAACCTCGTCCTGCACCCTCTTGACGAAAGAAATCGCGTACGAGTAGAAGCGCGCGGCCCAGTTACCGACAAGGGCGTGGATCCAGAAGGACGAATCGCGGTCGAACGCGTACAGCGATCCGCGGGAAAGCTGCTTGGGGACTTCGCTCACCTGCACGAACACCGGCGTGTAGGTCGTGGCGTGCGGTGCGTACTGGCCAAACCACAGGAACGCATTGTCGGGGTTGTAGCGGTCCAGAATGGAGACGAACGAGTAGCTAGCTCTGAAGATGGAGATGGCGCGTTCGAAGTGACCACGGTCGATATCAGCTTGAGTCAGGTCGCCGTTCGGGGCCGCATCATACCGGTCAGGGTCGCCGTACGGGCCGCTCTTCGGCCCCTTGGTCATGTCGAACGGCGTGCCTTCGTAGTGGTCTCGCTGGAAGCGCATGATGTCGCGAGGAGACAGAGGTGAGGCCGGCTTGACACTGAACGGGTAGTCACTGGCCAGCACATCGGTCTCGGGAGACAACTTCAGCTCCGGGTTCGCCAGAGTCAACAGCCTCCAGATGCGGCGAGTGGAGTAAAACTGATGGGTTTCCTTGCGCGGCTGGGCGTACGCGCGCGTGAAGTCAAACTGCGTTCCCTGGTCAGGCTTCCAAATGTTGTTCCGGATAGCGACGTCGTGCACGTTCGGAGAGGCGAGGAACTCCGACGGGCGGCTCAAGTCCAGCTCGCGAATGACAAATTGGTTGGCAACGCCGCTGATGTGACCGTCAGGCACGCGCTGGGCAGCCCAGATCGCCGACTTGCCTGTGTCATCAGGCAAGATGTGGAAGATCCACGCTTCCTTCGTGTCAGTCACCGTCAGCGCTTCACCAGCCTCGTCGTAGACATCCGCTCCTTCCCACACAGCGCCGTAGTATCCGTACTGGACAGCGAGGTCGCCCATAAGCTGCACAGCCTCACGCGCGGTGGTGGCACGCTGCAGCGCAATGCGCGAAAGCTCTGCCACATCGAACAGGGCCTCTCCTCCTTGCGTCAGCGGCTTGCTCCAGAAGCGCGCCGGGCAGGTGCTCTCTCCGATGGCCACCTGGTGCTCGTTGATGATACCGTAGGCGCCTTCGATGTAGGCGAACGTCTGCGCCACCTCCGGGATGCTACCAATGGCAGGAGTCGCGGTCCAGTTGTAGAAGCGAGTGTCGAGGTTCTCCGGGAGGTATTCCTTGCCACGAGCGCCGCCCACTGCACCACCACAACGGCAACAACACCATCAGCAAGATATTGCATAGAGCAGAGCAACCAGCACCTAAGTAGATCGTGCGCACCGTAGCGGGGGTAGTCGAAAGCGGCCAGCACGACGTCGTGCTTGGCGCCGTCCGCGTGCGTCTGGGCCGGCACCTTGGCGATGCGGAAGTCGCAGGACGAGCAGTCGTTCGTGTGCGTCGTCATGGGGGTGCTAGTGGTGGACGCCTGCACCAGTCACAACAGAGCCACAGACAGAAATGTTGCGTCAACATCCGTGCGCTGTCCTCACATGAATCGTTCGAGTGAGTGAACGCACCTTGGCGCCGACGATGATGGCCGTGCAGCGGTCCTTGGCCTGCGCGACGGAGGCCAGCGCGGCGAGCGCGAGAAGCGCCGGAGCGACTCGTAGAGCTCCGAGCATGACGGGTCTGGTGAACGGGAGAGGCTCCTGCAGGCTCCGACGTCTTTCGTGAAGTGAGCGCCATGCAAGTCATTGCACAAACGGTGGCCCCCACTTGTGGAGACAGGAAGGGTCGTCAGCCTCCGGTTTTGGCACTGAGTTGACACAAGCGTACCTGGAACTGGGCGTCATGTGGGTACACACACCCGGTTGTGGCGAGTCGGGAGAGAGATCAGATAAAGTCGCCAAAACCGGGTGGCGGGAAGTTGAAGTGGCGGTGACGAGGCAGAGCCGCAGGCTCGGATTTGGTTAGCGGAGACCGTCGTGGGGCGAGCACCAGCAGATGCAGTGCGTTGGCTAGCACGGATCTGGGGCTGGAAGCGCCTGACGTACGCAAACGATTCTCTAGTCGTGGCGCTGGCAAGATGCCAGTACAGGCAACTGGTGCGTGGTTACTCAAGTCCTGCTCTCTGCTGTATCCTGACTTAATACCGCTCTGTGTTTCGTGCGTTACGCGGTAACTCACTGCCGCGTGCGTACGCTTAAATGTTGGAGGTTGCTGGCCAGGTGGTTGATCACGTACGTAGGTTCGAGCCGCTATGTGGTCCTTTGCGGTGGCAATCGCTGTTGCTAACGCGAGCCTGTCATGGCGACGCGTTCCGGTTGCGCTTGGGACTCCGGTGGCGGTGGTTTGTATGTTGCAGTGCATGTTGCACGCTTCCCCGATCGTTTTCGCGTTTGACAGTCCTGCCAGGACTCCTGGATCTGCTCGCGTCGAGTTGTAAGACGTCGTGGATACTTGTCGCGGCTGGCGGATTTGATGCTTTGGTGGTTGCCTCGCTCGACAATCGCAATGGCAGCAACGCGAGCCTGTCTTGCCAAGGGCGAGATGCGGCTTCGGGGGCGTTTTCCCGACGGGAGCCGTTGCTGGGTGGTAGGCACCGCTGAGGACCAGCTTCAACCGTCTCGCTCGGCGTTCGACTGATGGGATAGCCGAGAGCGTCGAGGTCGGCGCTGCTCGATCTTCGGACCGTTTTTGAGGGAGCCACAGCTGGCAAGTCAAGAGTCCAAGTCGACGTCGTGCATCGGGATTTGCTCTCGCGTGCCAAGCCGAACAATTCGGAAGGCGCCAGTCTGCTGGCCGCAGTGCTGCCACCAGCAGCCATCGGGTCACCCGCTACGCAGCCCACCCGAATCGGGTGGGCTGCGTAGCGATACAGGGCGGATGGCGGGCAGGTGGTCTGGGGCGCTCGTGGCAATTGCGGGCATCTGGCGGGAGGTTGCTGCGCCCAAAAACGATCTTTTTCTGTTTGACGAGGCGGGTATCCTGCAAAAGGTCGTTTCTGAAGTTAGTGACGTGGCCGGCAACTTGCCGCGCCGTGCCACTTGCAACAGGGTGTCGAGCCATTGTATCCGTCGGCCCAGCGGCTCCGAAGCCTTCAGCGCTGCCACGGCATACTCACGCGTGGCTCACGGTCGCCGCTAACCCGCGGAGAATCACGAATTTCCTCCCCATACTTTATCCAAGTGCTTCGCGCCTGACAGCAGTTGCAATGGAATCAGAGCGGAAATAAAGTCGGGCGAGAAAAAAGGGTGGCGCCGTGTACTCGCGCCACCGACCGCAATCTCCTGCCGGACCGGCCGTTGGCGCAAAATCGCGTCGGGCTGGTGTTCCCCACACCATGCTGTAACTGCAGACAGTGGGATCCCTTCATTGGCGAAAAAAGTGGTCCCGCCCCTTCTACGCGCATATACATTTTCTCAGACGCAGTCCCGCCAGGGGGCCAGTATTCGGGATTGGGTGCGGTTCACTCCGCTTTTGTATCGGCATTAGCATATTAGCGCGGAGAAACCCACTCGGTCGAGGGTCGGGTAGGCAGGCGGCGGAAGGAACTAATGAGCATGGTGGAGCTGCGCGACTCGCGCTTCCTGCGGGACGTGGCGCCCCCGCTGCGCGCGCCCGTTGGCAAGGCCGCGGCCGAGTCCCCCGAGGGCACGACCGCCAGCTCGGACGACGAGGAGAGCAACAACCACAGCCACGGCAGCAGCAGCGGGTGCGGGCGCCCGCCGCTCGGCGCCAAGGCCAGCGCCGACGAGCTGTTCCTCAAAAGTATGCTGGGGCTGTTGAACAAGCGCGGCTACAACGTGCGCGATTCGGCGCTCGAGACGTCCATCGCGTCCTCGAACGCCAGCTTCTCGCGCTCCAGCAGCCTCACGAGCACGGGCTCCACCATCTCGTCCGTGCTGCTGGCGCTGCGCGAGCCCAACCACGGCCAGACGCCGCTGCACATCGCGGTGCGCAAGGGCGACGTGCAGGTGCTGGACGCGCTGCTGGAGCACGAGAGCATCGAGGAGCTCCTGGACGCGCCCGACTTCAACGGCAACACGGCGCTGCACTTCGCCGCGGGCAACTGGAGGCAGCCCATGTGCCTCACCATCACCGAGAGGCTGCTGGCGGCGGGCGCCAACGTCAGCGCGCAGAACAAACGCGGCCTCACGCCGCTGGCCGTGCACATGCTCACGCTCAAGATCGACAACCCGACGCTGGTTGTGAAACTGCTAGAGGCCGGAACTGACCCCAACACGGAAGCCGAGGGGGTCGCCGTGCTGCACCTCGCGGCGCGGCGCGACTTGCCCGTCATTTCGGGGGTCATGGTGGCCTTTGGTGCCTCCATGTTGTCGCTCAACACTGACGGACTCATGTGCTATGAAGTGGCGTCGAACCGCGTCAAGCAGTTCATGGTCCGCAGTATCAGCAAGGCGCCCGCCTACCTACCTATGACGCAGCGCAGCACCTGCATGCGCTGCAAGTCCCCGACGCTGATCAACCCCAAGAAGGCCTTCGGGAACCTGATGAAGAGGGTACTGGGCCTGCACATGCGCGCCCACCAGTGCAATTGCTATCACTGCGGCATGCTTTTCTGCTCGCAGTGCCTCAAGCCCTCGACCGCGGTAAGCGCTATTCCCTTCGTGCGGGACGACGAGGACCCGGACGACAGGATCAAGACGTGTCGGCTGTGTGAAGCCGTGCTCCTGGAACGCAAGAGGAAGCAGGCGTCGCAACACGCGTTCGACATGCATCTCATGGGCTTCAACACATCCGCATAGAAGATCACTGGCAAGTCAGACATATATACGGACTGCGCACGTTTGGCGCAGACACACAACCACCACCGCCACAAGGCGACAAAGGTTCGACGAAGAGCGAGTGCAATTGTAAACACGGCGAGCGAGGAGAGCGCGCACCACAGGGAGTGGCGGCGAGCCTGACTACTTATCAATCAGGGCGTTTTGTCTTGGCCCCCTCTTCTCTATCTTCCGACGATGGCTTTGCCGCCCGGACCGATAACTTAATATGAGCAGCAGCGTGCATTTTTGTTTTGTTTCCCATGTCCCGGATCATATTCGCCAAAGGTGCTTGTTACAGTACTTCACTCAAACATGCCGCCAAGTCCGTCACCTTCCGAGAGTCCGTCATCGGCATTAGCGCGCTTGGCCTCACGCATGGCCGCCTTCTCCTCGCCACGCTTGTTCTGAGTCGGGTCGAACGTCGGGTATGCGTCCAGCACGAACTTGCCCTGAGTGCTAGTAGCTTCAATTGCGCGCACTGGGAATTGGGCGAACGCCGTGAAGTGGTGCAGCGTAATGGCAGTAACGACGGTGGTGTCCAGCGTCAGCTCGCTGGAAGCCTCCATTTGCTCGCCGTGGAACGGAACGTGGACGAAGTGGTCGCAGATAGCGCGCTGTTCCTCCGAGAGCCCAGGGAACTGCAATTACAGCACAAACAGCATAAAAGTTAGCAAAACTTCTCGCTGCAATAGTCTTGGAGCCTTTTTAAAGCTTAAAAGCTGCCGACGCGCACCTCGTTGTCGATGACGAATGCGCTGGTTCCTTCATAGGGCGTGGCGTGCGCCGCTGATACATCACACGTAAGATATCAACGGTCTCAGTCAGTTGGGAGAGATTCAGGACCCACATCCAATGGAGGCTGGTAAGCAGAGTGTTTCTGCGGGAGGCCTCTATGAAGGTGGTGGCTTCAGATAAGACGCACCATAAGACTCTTGCGACTGCTTGCTCAGGCCGAAGATGGTGCAGCCCTTGGCTTTCAGGTACGCGCGAGCCTCTGCAAAGTCGTACATATGCACGACGTCCACGTACTTCTGCGCGCGGTGAGCGCCATGCGTCCCAAAGCGCTCGGAGCCGACTACGCCGTCGTAACGTAGCAGCGCAGCCAACCGTTAGTCCCCAGCCACGCGCTGCCTACATTCGCATCAGCCTTCCAGCCAGCTTTCGTCACGTACCGACCAAAACTTGGGTCGTCCCGAAGGCGGAGGCCGTGCGCAAGTACGTGCCGAGGTTCTGCCGCCCGCTCTTGTTGGACAGCACCATGAACAGCTCCACGGAGCTGGTAGTGGAGCTCGTCGTCGCCATGCTGCTCAGCCTATAGCGTAGTTGGTATAGTGACCATTTTCTTCACTTGAGTGACTCTGCGACGTGTGAGGATCAGGTGAGCGTCTGCGTGGTCACTCGCTGGTGCTGCCGGCCGTCGACGCACTGCTGCTTGGCGTAAAACTTGCAGAAACTGCGATGAATAGTTTTGCCCTCACTCGCTTGGAGCACCTTGGAGTGCTTGGCAAACTCTGTATGCCTCGCACGAAGCTGCCAAATGTTTTCGTCCTGCAAGTCCACCAACGGATGCAGTCGCGACTTGTCCGCTACGAACTCGAGCTCCAGACGCTGCAAGCCGGAGCTTCCCGACTTGTCTTGCGGGGAGATGGAGGATGGGAGCACTGCATCGTTGGTGAAGCGGAGAATGGTACGGAGCATCCCGAAGCAATGGCGGAATTTGGCTGCAGGATGCACGCTCGAGTCGAGACACGAGCTGTCTCCGAAGACAGCGATGCGGCCGCCGTAGACTGACGGCACCTCGTACAACCCCAGCACTGGGACATCACTCAAAGTCTGCTCGGATCCGTTTAGCGTTCTTGCACTTTGGTCAGCAGCGTTGATGTAGCCCAGGTATCCCCCCACGGGGAAGTTGGTGAGGTACGATCCGGACCAATACGGGAATGACGAGTCGTTGCCTGAATTCAGTAGCGAGACGCTGGAGCTGTAGACGACGCCGTCTCCGAGCGCGATGTGGAAGTCGTGAAGCAAGTTGTTGACCGCAGGGATATTCGCTCCACCTGTAATGGCATGCCATTTGCTTAACGTGCTCGTGTCGAAGAGCTCCAGCGTGTCGAGCATTCGGTTGTCATACCAATCAGCGAAGACGATCAGGGACACGTTCGAGTATTTGATAGCCGCTTGCAGAGCGATGATCTCGTCCCGAAAGAACTCCTCCTCGGGGTCGACGACCATCACGGCGCCATACTTGCCGAGGTCCAAACACGAATACTCAAACGGCAAGATGTCCACGAAGAAGCCCTCGCTAGTCAGGAAGTTCCAGAGCTGGTGGTAATTGGTGTGAGGGTGGTCGCCGCCTACGTCCATCAGATCATGCTGGTTTTCAAGGTTGTCCCGCGGTACAAACGCAGATGGATAGGGAATATTGTGAAACTGGTCCCACAAAATGCGCTTGGAAGCTGGAGGTGTTGGAACAATCTTGATCGTCACAGGAATTAGGAGCTCGTCAACGTGGTTGGCGTTTTCCACTTCAAGCCGCAGTGCTCCCTTTGCGATGCCTTCAAAAGCAGCAGCCTTCTCTTTTACCTCAATAAAGACGCCAACTGAACCAAAATACGGCCAAATCGCGGAAGGTGTAGAAGTCGAGACTGTAAGATGGTCACCGTTCGTATCACTAATCCACTGTGGGGGCTTCTTGATCGTACCCACGACGAAAGCAGAGTTCATAAGGGTCAAGTTGACCATAAGAGGCAACGCGCTGTGATAAAGCGCCTGCGAGCAATATGGCCACATGCGGGGGCAGTCTGTCATGTCAATCCTGTCTGGGAACGAGCTTGGTTTCAGCACACTTTGGACAATCTCCTTCCCACTTTGCGTAGCATTTTCAGCGACCTGATGTCGGAGCCATAAATTCTCGATAACCTTGCTCGCCTTGGAGATATTCAGTACTCCGTTTCCTTGCTCGAAGATGTGATTTCGAACCACATATTCAGAATCACGACGAGCTTCGAGCCTGTCAGCGCTTTCCAGTAAAATCTGTTTCATCGACGCTGGGTTTATCAAATTCCACCTCTGTTCTGCAGGAATCATCGAGGCGAGAAGAGCAATCGACGCTGACACGATCGGAGCTGATGCACTGGTACCGGAGAGCACCTTGCATCCGCCCGAAGCGTCTGACCCTGGAACATCTTCAGCAAGCGTGACAATGTCGGGCTTGATGCGACCTGAACCGAAAGGGAGCTCCCAGGTCGTCATCCCCCGAGAGGAAAACTCAGCAATCTCGTTGTTTTTCGTAACACCGCCAACACCGATTACCTCTGCTTGATCTGCTGGATTCGAGAGCAATCCATAGTGAGGGCCATCATTGCCGACTGCAGATACCTGCCAGTAAAGGAAGTAGCAACTAGTCAGCATTATTAACCTCGTTGTGATGCAGAGGTCGTGATAAAACGTACCAGAATAATCCCATTCGCCGCCAGTTCTTGGACTTTATCGACGAACGGCAGGTCCTGGAAGTCTGGCCCTCCTGTACTCAGGTTGAGCACGTGGATTCCCTTAAACAACGCATAATTAAACGCATCAAGATACCACGACGTGAACGAGAGCTGCTCTCCAGTAAACATCCGAAACACGAACAGCTCCGCTTCCGGTGCAATCCCCGGACATTTCGCATCTGTGCCACTAATAACACCCGCAACAAACGTTCCGTGACCCACCGAGTCCGTATTCTTTGGTTCATGTGTCCAATTGATCCTCTCCTTCACATTCGTCAGCTTGGACGACAATCCCGTATCAAAGATCCCCACTTTCACCCCTTGTCCCTTAAATCCTCGATCCCACAGCTCTCTCACTCCAAGCGTGTCCACCAATAACTCCGACTCCTTCCTCAGTCCAAACAGCTCTCTCGCCGGCTCATTCACCGCGCGTTTGCTGCCCACCGTCTGCAGCTTCTGTCCCTGCTCTCTCTTCTCGTCCAGCCCCAGCAGCTGCAGCTTTCGGTACTCTTGGTTCACCCTGACAGCCTTAATCCACCGCGTTGCATTCTTCTTCTCATAATTCTGCATTGCAGCCTCAGAGCCATGGCACACTGAGCCTCCTACTGCTTCAATGTTGCTGGTAACTCCACAGTAAAACATGCGCAACACCACGAAGTCTGTGGGCGCCTGTCGAGCGAATGGAGACCTGCCAGCCACCTCCAGCCCGTAACCGGACGCGGCGGAGCTGATGCAGCTGCTCACGAGCTGCTCCTGCGCCTCCAGCGCGTCGTAGTCGCGCAATTGCGCGATGAATTCCTGTGTCAACGGGTTTTGGTAGAGTCTGCAGACTTTCGACTGCGGCTGCGCGGCGCCTGCGAGCGGCAGAGCGGACACCAGGCATATCGCTAGAAGCGCCGCGATCCCAGCTATCACCCGGTGTGTCTTGCTTCGCCACGAGCCGTCTGTGAGCCGCGCGCGGGCGCCGAACCTGAGCGTCGTGACGTCCATGACGCTCCACTCATTAACCGTGCTGACGTGTGTGTTTTAACAGCCTGGGTGAATGTTGGTACATAGTAAAACCAAGTCAATTTTGGATCGAATCAGATTCTATTATCTGGTCTGATTCGACTTCACTTTCAATTTTCGATCATGGTGGCGATCGTCGGCTTCGGCTCGCTGCTCTCCGGTACAGTCCATCGGTCGTCTATAAGCTCGTCAAGATGACACTAAACATTAACATAACGTAATATGTGCCTGGGGTGCAGAGGCGTCGGCGCGCTCGACGTTCGGCGACGGCGTGCGCAACTTCCGCCTGGCGCGGGTGCTCGACTACCGCCGCGTGTTCGCGCACCCCGCCTCCATCTTCTTCCAGCGCGGGATCGCAGACCTCCAGACCAAGGTGCAGTGCAATTATGTAGTTATTTAATTGATGCGATTATATTTTTTATTAACGTGGGTTGTGTGGGCTGTTAAGGAAATGGCGAGTCTGTCGACGGAGCCGGCGCCTGGATGCGAGTTCCTTGTGAGCGTGTTCGACATCCCGGAGCAGCTGCTGCCGGACTTTTACGAGCGCGAGGAGGAGTTCGAGATCATCAGTGCCAAGTTCCAGGAGCTGGATGGGACGTCGGGCGAAGAGGTGGGGGAGTGGGTGGGTGAAGGTGGTTGTTAATGGGGGAGGCTGATGAGGTGGCTTGTGTAGGCGCTCATGTGCACGAGGTGGAGCGACGAGGAGTACATTGCCAAGCGGTGAGGCCTTGTTTGAGTGTGAATTAGTCCTTGTTGGATAAATGGGGCTGAATGGATGTGCTGGTGATGGTGCTGTAGTGGACAGGAGACGTTCGACACCAAGTACAAGGCGTACGGGTTGGATACCATTTGGGGTTGGGACGCCCAGAGCGGCATCCTCCCATGCAGGGTAAGCACCAGCTTGTGGCTGATAAGCTATGCACGGGGAGCTCATGAACTGAGCGATAATGTGTCCAGGTGTATCTTCGCCACTGTTTGCTGGCTGTCAAGAAGCTAGGACAGGTATGTAGTTTTTGTTGTAGTTTTTGTTGGTGATCCACGGTGCGTGTGAGCTAACTACTTCTGTCTACAGGACGTGTACGATGACTTCGTCACTACTACCTACCTCGGCGATCGCTCTACCACGATCAAGGAGTACATTGAGGCCAACCCGTCTATCATGCTCGAGCTCCCTCCCCCGCATCTTGTTGACCGCTACAGCGGTTAAGAAGTGACTCCGAAGCAAGGACTCAGTACTAGAAACCAGGATTTGTTTTGCTCACGTGGACACTCTTCTTGCGTATTATGTATCTTGTTGTGTCCATGCAGAACTGCACTTCAAAGCAAGTTCCATGTCGTGTAACCAATATCGCCGTTGAGGCATTTTGGTCATCAAATCTGAAACCTCTGCCGACGGTTCCCCTTTTGTCGTTTCTAGGCGTTGGAGGCAACTTCACTCGTTGATTTCAAGTCCCCAGCAAACTCCACAAAGCTCCGACTTGGATGAGGATTTCCGATGCCTCCCACCACCTGAAGAAGACGTCGTTGTGGGACTACGGGAACCAAGCGGATGCAGAGGATGTTCTCACGTCGCCGGACATTCTCAGCAAGGCCACTGCAACTATCCGAGCCAGTCTTGGCGTGAACAATCCAGAGACCATTTGGAGGTCGTTGGGGCGGCACCTGGAGAAGCAACTGATGCAACTGAAGGCAGTGAACATCACAAGCTTCGGTGCTTTCGGTCTTAGTCAGAGCAATGACCTGGTTTTCGTGCAAGACCCGGTATTTCTGCGCATGACGCGGCTGTGCTTGGCATCTCGAAAGCGTGGGAACCTCGTGGCGCCTGCGTTAGGACCCAGTGAACACGTTGAGGACATCGATGTCAATGGGCTAGCTGCTGAATATCTGCATAACTGCAGTAAGGACCTGGCGAAGACCGTCATCTCGAGTGTCTTTGCGTGGGTGACAGCGTGGGCCAAGGATGGTCAACAGATGCGGTTGAGTTTTCTTCCGGTCGGTGAGTGGATTTGCGACGGCGAAAGTGTGGACTTCCGCTTCTCGGAGTCATTCCGCACAGAGGTTGCGCTCAGGAAGGCGGATAAGGATAAGCAAGAGGCAGGGGTGGCAGAGATTGCTGGAGGTGATGGTGACAGCATGAACAACAACCAGTTCGACAACCAAGAACCGCTCGGAGATCAAATTATGTGTCCGCCTCATTCTCCTCGTGGTTCTACGGGTAGTGAGAAGCTGGATTGCAATACTGCAAAGGGTAACATCGCGGTGGATACCTCTTCTGCTGCTGCCAAAGCTGCAGCAATACAAAGCACGTCTCCGACTGGACGCTCTCGTTACAAGCTACGCGCGCCAACTTTCTCATCGATAGCGAAGCAGCTTCCGCCACATGGCCAGAGACGCAAGAAGCGTACTGACTCTTCTGTTGAGGTGATGTCAAGCAACAGCAAGGCGAAGACGGGTACTAAGAAGAAACCCAGCGCCGGGGGTCGTGGTGTGACTCGTGCAGCAAAACAAGTCGGATCTGTATCGCCAAAACTCGATCCGATTGAATTCGACTCTGAGACGGAAGAAATTATCGCCGCAATTAACAACATTCGCCCTGGGACGGCATCTACCTGCAGTGTTCGACCTTGCAAGGGCGCGTTACGTTCAAAACCAGCTCCAGGTCCTTCGCCGCAGCAACTGGATACGGTCAATCGCTTGCTGAATAGAATCACCAACCGGAAAAGCCACAGTATGCAAGGCCTGAATGCGCTTGAAGCCATCCTCAGACCCTTTAAAACCGGGGCAATCTCATCCACTGAGTTGAGTCTCTCCCTGCGGAAGTTGGGCGTTAAAGTCTCGTCGAGTGAGCTGAAGAACATCGCAAAAGCTTTTAGCCATGAAAAGCGTGGTTACATCGACATCACCAAATTCATGGATACTCTTCGAGGACCTCCTCTAAGCGGGGCCAGACTTGACTTGGTGGCAAGAGTGTTTCATCAAATGGACCCAACTTGCAGTGGTGTCGTGAACGTTGACGAGATGATCAAGCACTATGATGTGGGCGTCCTTCCGCAAGTTCGTGAAGGAAAGCAGAGTAAGTTGGAAGCTCTTAAAGCGTTTCTTCAAGAATGGGGATTCGTGTGCAATTCGACTGGCAGCACCATTACGTTTGATGCATTCGTCCGGTACTATCAGGTACGCCTCACGTTAGAACGTGCGGCTAGCTCATCCTCCCTACTAACTATTGAGTTGTACTTCTCCAGAATGTTAGTGTATGCATCAGTAGCGATGCCGACTTTGAACTACTGATGCACCAAACTTGGCGTTTACCAGAGGAACGCCAAGACGCAGAAAATGAGCCACCCTCGAGAACAAACGGCAAGAATGTGTCGACCAATTTATCTCCTCGTGGTGTGTCAAGAAGGGCTTCAGCACTACCTGATGGCGTACAGGAAACACTCAATGGGGTTGAGACGGCAAATATCGAGAAGGATACTCACCCAAGCAAAGCGTGGTCGTATCTTCGAGCGTTGCTGCTTTTCCCTGAGCGATACCAAACTGGAATCAGTAGCTGGCCGACGCTGGATAATATGTGTCGGCGACTTGGAGCCAACCGAGTGCTCGGTGACGGAAATGAGATCATGAATATCAAGGCTTTTGCTCACTCGCTCGCTACACTGGACAAGCGCTTGACGCAGAAGGATGCGTACGATCTGTCGTGCTTTGTGGCTGACCATTGCGCACCATCGCTCGATGACAGTGATACGATTGTGCTTTCGTCGCTATATCGTCTACTGACGACTTCGTGGAACGAACAGGCTACCTCCGATGCAGTTGACTACAATTACGTCGAGTACTACGCGTCCAAAGCCATCGAACGACTTCTAGCTCGCGTTAACGGGTTTCAAACCGGATCATCCCACGCTGAAAGACAGTCAGCAGTGGGTCTGAATACGCTGGAGAAGTGGCTGCACTCGTCTTGCTCCAACGGCGAGTCCCTCTTGATGAAGTACGAGTTAAGAAGCGCTCTCATGAAAGTCGGCCTTGATATCGGCTACCAGGACCTGGATTATCTCTTCGCGTACTTTGATGCCGATCACCTGGGCTTCATCAACTACCTGACTTTGTTAGAGGCTCTCCGCAGCCCATCGAACATGCTTCCGAAGATGTCAGGGCATCAAGAAAAACCGTCGACACATGTAGAGGCGAAACCAGTGGATGATTCGCCATTTCAGCAACCAATTTACGCTGCAGCACCACAGACCACGGCTCGCCGACGAAGACAAGCTGCAGCCCGAGAGCCGCAGCTCGATTTCCGTCGCCGAAACTTGATCCATCGAGCCATTTGGGACCAAACAAGGAAGAACGAGATGTCAGACACTAGTGACAGGTTCGGTAAGCTTGAGATTGAGCGACGCCGTCGCTATCGAGCCGCCCAGAGTATCCAGACAACTTTCCGCGCGTTCCGAGCTCGACAAATTGCAGCTCAGCTTCGTCGCAAAGCGGCTGCCAGAACTTATCGCTTCAACACGCTGGCCAAAGAGCATCAGCAACGGCTTGCCAAGAAGATGAAAGCGAACAGAACCGTTCTACCAACGGCCTACGGCTTTTAATGGTTGCATGAGATATTCATTTCATAGTTGAAGCTGTTATGTTGCGCTTGAGCAACTTATCTACTTTAACTTGTTGATTTATCGTAAATCAATTGCGAAAAACAATTTCGGTTGCCGTAGTTCACTGGACTATGGCGTCTGGCACTGAGCTCGATTGGTTCAGCAGGCTGGCGATTAGACCACAATGATCTTCGCCACCTCTGAGGCCCACATCTTTTGACCTCGAACGACATGGTCGTTGTTGGAGTAGAACCAGTCGTCGTTTGTGCGAGCGTTCACGATGTGCGTCTGCGGCTTCACCATGGGTACAGGGATATCTTCTCCAGTGCCTTGAGTGGCCCAGTTTTGGTCGACGGTGGCGACGGCCTGGACGTAGTACGTACCCGCAGCCGGGAACTTCACATTAGCGGAGAATAAACCCTTCTTGTTATCCTTCGCCTTCAAGCCCAGGTCCTTATGATACCAACGCGTGACACCCTGCTGAGCTTGCGTGAGGGTAGCATTAGCGGGGTTGTCGGACCAGATCTTCAACTGCGTGCTGTCCACCGTAATGGCCCCAGCGACTTCCCATTTGAACGCTGCTGCTTTCTTCACAGTCGCATTTTGCGGGTGCGTTTTCCAGAGCAAGTACGGCTGAACCAGATCGATGTACAGCAGCGACAAACGAACGTTGCGAGGAATGTGGCCGACCATTTCCGAAGCTGGCAAATAGTCACTTAGGGCCTCATCCGAGAGCGTAGAACTGTCACCTAAACTGGAAGCGTTCGGCTGCTTACTGTGGCTTGTCTCGATCAGGACGTTGAACGCGCGGTGGGTGGCATTGTTGTACTGGGTTTTAGCGCGCGGGTATCCCCCGAAACTCGTCGGGTTGCACGTTCGGATGGGCTTTGGCGTCGTGAACTCGTTCTCCCAAGACGCCGCGTAGCCCCAATCTTCCATGCCGCCGTCCACAGGATACACGACGTCGTTCATGGTGCCGTCCGGGTAGTACTCGCCGCTGTCTTCAAATTTGCCTCCGAACCGAGACATGATACGAGAGAGTTGCTGCTGACTGCGATCGTCGGGACTTTTGTGGCTTTTACCGGACTCCATGACGTGGTTCTTGGCGCCCCATTCGTACGTGATGCACTCCGTTCCGGCGTGGAAAGTGATACCGAGCTGGAACAGGTGGTCACGCCATAGCTCGTTCAGCGCGCGAGCCGCCATAGTCACCATGCACTTATCGTCACTGGCGAGGTTGTATGGGAAGTCTCGGTTCGGGTCGACGTTTAGCTCTCTACGGACGTTGTGGTTGTAGCCGTACGCGTTGGGGGTGGGGATGATCACGACAGTTCGAGTCTTCACGAGGTGCTTGATCCATGGGTTACCGTCGGGTCTGTTGGCGTGAGAGAGCAGCAGCTCCGCCAGGGCGACGACGACATTGGGACCCACGCGTTCGTTGCCGTGCACTTCCCCACTGAAGATCAACTCGGGGCGCTCCGGATCGGGCAGCGTCGACTCGTCCGTGATCTTGATGACGAAGTTCTCACAAGGAACGATCTCGTTGGCACGAGTGCAATTCAGTTCGGCAGGCTTGGGCAAATGGTACTTGTCCTGGACACTGAAGACTTCGGCGTAGTTTGGGTACTTGGTCTCTAGCTCTTCGAGGAAGTCGACGATTTCACCATAGGAGCGTTCCTTAAACAAAGTGCCTGCAGCCAAAGAGGGCGAAGCAGTGGCGATGCAGGCGACTGCGGAGAGGAGCAACACTGAAGACTTCATCTCGTGGCTTAAGGCGTCAGGACCAACGAAAATTCGGCAATGTAGTGAGATTCAGAAAGTGTCTTCTGTACCTGTACGTTTTTCGCATCGGCTCTTCTATCCTGAAGAGACCAAAGTTTGCCACATGCCGCTCCGTATGTACAAGAGATAACAGTGATTACTTGTACGGGAATTTGTCGCGCGTTACTGCAAGGCAAGGCAGCACTGAATCCCGATGCTGAATCATCGATCGATTCCAAGACAGAGGATATTAGTACAGCACAGCGAAAACCGATATCTTGATTTTTGGATAGGATCATGGGCTTTGCTTCGCTGCGCTGCGCAAAGGCAGTCGCTGCGCTCCTGCGATACTGTAAAAAGATTCTCTCACCTGGCGAGTACAGTGCTCGGCTCGCTGGAATGCTCGGCGCTGGGCCCGCCTCCGCAGATACCGCGCGGCCCTGCTTCGCGGGCACCCCGCGGGGGTCTGCTATGGCTACGCGACCTCGGCCTCCATTGGTCCTTTCTCTGGCCCATGCTGTACTAATACTATAACGATCAAACGCTCAATGATCCGTGTTGGGATCGATCGATGATTCAGCATCGGGATTCAGTGCTGCCTTGAACTGGACACTGGACTGTGCATGTACATTTAGCGTCAACAGCGTCAGGTGGTAGAAATGTTGACCATATCGTCAACAGCGTCAGGTGGTAGTAATGTTGACCATATCGAAGTGAAGCCGCAAATACTATACAAATATACATGAAATAGGACCGATGTCGTAGCACGCTCTGCACGTGAGTTCCGGACAACTAACTGCCTTAGACAAGTAGGCATGTCTACGGCATGTGTTTTAGCCAAAATGCAGGACCCTGCCATGAAAAGGAGAGTGTTGGTCCTTCAACTTGCTGTGCTTATTCACACTAGTTCTTACTACTGAAGTATGCACTTGTCTGCAGGCATTTATTTACGTTGCGATCGATATGCAACTTCATGCGTACGCGTTGTTATACCACAATACGAGCTTCAAGGCGATTTCAGTTGTATCGCTCAGTGGTCTGATCTGCTTTAGTCCAGTCATCTTTAGCATACGTGGATTGCAAGTCCATGCATGTATCGCTATTTCTGTTGTGTATGCCTCGATAAGCTCGTCAGCGCGAGCTCTCGTGACAACACAATCCTCGAGTGAGACAACGGTTTGAGAAATGGTCAAACTCTGGCGGAGATAAGACCGATGCCGGTGCCAACAAAGTTTCATCATCGACTGACGATCGCAGTGAGCCATGTCAGCCTTACCGTAGTCGGATGGTGAACAAGACCGAGGACGAGTGAATCGGCTGAAGTGGGCTGAGAAATGAACGTTTCCTGCTCTCGTTCGTCTTCCAACGGTAGAGATGGCTATAGTGGGCGGAAGCGGTCAATCTCCTCCTGGGACGCCCATTCACCTCCTCACTACCGAAAACCAGACTTCATCCACAATGGGCAGCGGCGCCTCGAGGCAAGCTCTGTTACAGCGATCGGGAAGCAGAATCGATGCGCTCCTGGTCGAGGCAAGAGAACACAACGACGATAATGATGACGAACAGCTTCTAGGCGTCACTTTGGCGAGGATTCCTCGCGGTATGCGCGCTGAGATGTGCAACTTGCAGCGGCCCTCAACGGAACGCACGAGGCCTTACGTCGAGTCTTGGAGCCACGATACAACTGCAGAGATCCCTGTCACCAATGACAGTCCGATCGACGCCGCAGACGAGAAAAGCGGACGTGACGGTGAAGCAGAAGAAGAGGAGGAAGGAGGCTACTCCACAGACGACTTTGAAGACGACGAAGTCACGGAGTGGAAGAAAGGGGCCTCCATCGGTGCTGGTAGCTATGGCACGGTAAGTGTTGACACCACTAGTTTTTTTGTAGGAATATGTGTATTTTACTTACCGATATGTTCTCGCCAACTTCAGGTGTACCTGGCTCGCGACGAAGACACTGGTTGTCTGATGGCAGTGAAGGAGATTCTGATCTCGGAGGAGACCGACTCTGCTATCCGTGAGGCTACGCGAGAAGTCGAACTGCTGCGCAGTTTGAAGCACGAGAATATCGTGAAATACTTGGGCTGTCACGTGGACAACACCGCGCAGACGCTTTCAATCTTCACTGAATGGGTCCCCGGAGGAAGCCTCGAGCACAACCGTAAGCTTTTTGGCGGTAATGAGCGCGTCGTCCGTCGATTCACCCACCAGCTTCTCTCTGGCGTTGCCTATCTTCACTCGAAAAACATTATTCACCATGATATCAAGGTACGATTGAGGGATCCTTGTCGAATACTTGAGTGACTGGCAAGTCTGTTTGCTAACGAAATCCCTTGTGCGCAGCCGGCGAATATCCTGGTAGACCAGAATGGCGTCGTCAAGATCGCTGACTTCGGTTCTTCTCGCCTGATCAACAGCGCCACGATGGCTAGCAATTCTTCCCGATCGTTGCATGGCACACCTAACTACATGGCTCCTGAAGTCATCAAGCAGACTCATGGGCGCAACCGCAAGGCCGATATCTGGAGCGTTGGCTGCACTGTGCTGCGGCTGCTTACAGGACGACCGCTCTGGGGCGACCGTCACTTCGACGCGCAGGCTGCTCTGCTCTACTACATCGCAAACCTGCAGGAATTGCCCCCGTTACCCGGCGAACTATCGCCAGAAGCTCGCGAGCTCATCTTGGCCTGCCTCCAGATTGACCCAGCAAATCGCCCCAGCGCAGCGGAGTTGCTGGAATTCCCGTTCGCCAAGTGCGCCGGTCACAAATCTGAACCTGTTGCCCCCGAGCCGGTGACAGCAGCCCCAAGGCGGCACACCAATGCCCCAAGACGCCACACAGCACCGGTAGTACCCTCCCCACCCGTCAGTCCCTCGCAGCGCCCGCGCCGATCTGAGCGTCACCATGAATCGTCGAAAGAGGCGAAGGCTGCTGTCAACGAAACTCCAGCCGACCAGACTCGACGAGCATCGCTTGTTGCAACATTGTTCTCGCCAAGTGATGTGAACACGCGTCCAAGGGAAGGTGATGCACCGGAGAAGGAGGCGCCGCTTGTGGAGCCGATCGTCAACGAAGCAACACCTGCTGACTGCCCGTCCGAGGTCACCCAGACATCTCGCTTCACGCTCGAGGACTCCACAACCAGATCCGGGAACAATGAAGACCACGTCGTGTCAAGATGGGACGACCGCCCGATCATCGCAGCCGCAGCCCGAAAGGAACGCGAGAAGTACGAGGCTGAACTCGCTGAAGCATCACGCCGCAACCAAGAGCGCCAGCGCAGGTATCAACAAGAGGTCGCCGCGTACATTCGTGAGTCATTTGCTGGACGATCGTAGACTTTTTTTGGTCGATCTCCGCGTAATGTATTTATTATCCCACCCCTCGATTCTCATTGACTTGTATCACTACTGCCGCTACCCGCTTCAGCCTCCTCACCGTCTTCGTAAGTTTCATCATAGCCGTCGCCCATTGAGGAGGGAGGGAGCGGTGGGCCCAGTATCAAATTGCACAGCAAGCTGAAGCTTTCGGACACCAAGAAGTGCACAAGTAGCCACTGAACCCGAACAAAGACCGCCAGCAAACAGATAAGTGCTGCGTAGACTGCCCATACATCGAGCAATGCTGTCTTATGCCACGGAGCAGTCAGGTTCAAAGTGGCCAAATGATCAAACCCCAGTCGAAGCGCAGCGTCGATTACATTGATGGCACGAGATGTACCACCCGCTCTTTCCAGCAACGAACCAACCCGTCGTGCCGCACGCGTGTAGGAGGCATTCGTCAGCAGTTCGGCAACGGCAGCGTGCACGTACGGACCCGAAAGAAGATTCTTGTCCAGCGATAATCCTGCTCCGGAGTCTTCTACGCGCGCCGCGACATCGGGCTGGTCGACAAGGAACGGGATACACAGCAACGGCTTACCCATCACCAGCGCTTCCTGAGCAGATACCATTCCGCAGTGCGATACAACGAGCCGAACTGCTGGATGACTGAGGACTTCCAGATTCGACAACGACGAGCTAGGTGGCTTCAAGACCAAAGACGTCGGCAACGCGGGCGGCAAAATGCCACGCTGATCCGTGGGAAGGATCCAAAGCACCTTAACCGGTGGGTCTCCAGGTCCCATGAGCAGCCCTTCGACTAGCGCTTGAGCTTGCCATGCGTCGATGTACGCCATGGTACCGAGGTTTAAGTACACCACGCCACCACTTGCTGGGTCGACATCATGATCACCCGAAGCCTTGGAGCGAGGATGAGATGCGGTCCGTTGCCGCAGACGCATCGATGGAGTAGATTCAATTGAGGCGTCAAGCCAACTG